AGAATGTTAAGCTGCAAGGATAAGATCTTACTAGGGGTAGGATCTATTATTAACCGTACTCACCTAACATGGGACTTCTCTGCTTACAAGGCAAGTCTGTGAACAGACGAGGCAACAGACAAGTCTGTTCACAAAGAAAGCCTGGTGCTGGGGGTTTGCAACTCAGTATAAGTAACATTTCAATAGGAGAGAGGGGGAAGAAAGGTCAAGCCAGGGGAACATTCTGTAGATAAGAGCCTTACGGATATCAGACAAGTAGGAGAAGTAAAGTGCTGAAGGTAACCTTTCCCTAGGCCACAATTTGGGTTCCAACTAACTGTGGTTCACATGGGGGTGCCTGCTGCCAGGGTGGGGAAGAATCTTGCCAGATGTTTAGCAAGCCACGAGTGGCTAATTCCTTTTTAGTCTAAATCCATTTTACTTTAAATTCCTACATTACTAAAGACCCCATCCCCGATCACAAAAGTCAGCAGTTAGAAAAGGAATCAGAAGAGAAACAGACACATAATTAAAGGGGGCCCCCTTGGTTCTGCAGCACTTACTTGCCCCGCCAACAGGGGGGGACAGCAGTTACTGTGTCAGAAGCAAAGTCTTGGTAATGGTTTAACTCTCACTAGACCAGAGTTACCTGAACTTCAGTCATTCAGCTACCAATACCATGACTTTAGTTATCCCAGTGAGTCTCACCCACAGTATTATTTACTTAGTATTTTAATATCTCCAATAGCTCCTGCATTAGTTTTTACTTACTATGTTATTTAAATTGCCTCAAAATGTCTTTCAAATGGGAACTTTATGCCATTATCATAAATAGAAAAATACACACCACTTTTCACAGATCGATGGTAACCATAAAAATAAAATTGAGAGCAAAACAATGTTAATTCCAGCTAGATCCAGCTGTAAGCCAGGGCCCCAGCCTGTCTCTCTGGCTTAAAGGGATAGTAGCAAGTTTAGGGAGTTGTTAATAATAAAGCACCAAACTCAGACTTTTCCCTGGATATAATCAAGATGCCTGAAAGAGCAACGCAACGGGCATAAATTTCCACCCTCTGCCTCAATATTCTTGAAGGCTACAGTGCCCTGAATCACCTCAATCATGCCAGGTAAAGTGCTCCTTGGCTTTGGAGACAACACTGCTGAAGGCTACAGTGCATTTAAAGAACAAATAATGGACTGTGAAGAGGATTACTGGTAAACCGTGATTCCTAAAGTCCCCTTCAGGACTGTTCTACAGCACAGACCATACTCCTCATCCTTCACAGACCTGAGGAATCCTGCTGGCATATTAATTCCCAAACTAACAATGGCTTACACACATAACTTGCGTGTTGGTTAAAACATGTTCAACATTTACTACACATTGGAGTTTAAATTATTCATTTCATCTCTAAATTGTTTCACATCTTTTTCTTGCCTATAATGAGCCTACATTCTAGACTCAATGCAATAAGGTGAAAATGTCTCCCTTTACAGATTTCTCAAAGACGGACGCGTGCTACAGTTTTGGGTTTTCAATAGAATGGGGACATCTCCCGATATATTTATATCTCATCTACTCTCCCAGAGCTCACAAGAGCCCTACAAAGTAAAGTCTGAAGGCAGGGGTTTTCCTCCTGTTCTGTCTGTATTCCTGTGTCCTAATGGCAGTGGCCAGTGTTTACATTTTATATTAGACTGCACAGCTTTCTGAGAAGCTCTGGGCATGGTTAATATATCTTAAGTCTTCTTGGAAATCAGGTTTTAAGGTATTGTTACTTTTGGTAAGAGGTGCAAGAGTGTCTGTTCGTTTTCCAAAGTGTTGAACCTAAAAGAAAAAGCTCTTTTTTTCTTTTGCTGTGGGAAGGGGTGGCAGGGAATAAGCCTGATCTAAAAATAAACTTGATTTCTGTCTTATTTATAGGGAACTGGAGTCCCTCTGTAACTACCTATTACCACCTCAATAGTGACAGGGCGAATAAATAGTATGTATTTTCAAATGTGGCAAAACTAAGAAAGAAGTTGCCAGGGCCACATCTCATTTATCAACGTGGGGATTAAAGGGCTGGCTCTCGAGGCTCCAGACATCTAGGGACCCAGAGATAAAACAGGGCAGTTGGCTGTGTTTTCACTAATGAATCTCGGGCTTGAAAGATATCAGGCAATTTTACAGAAAAGCAGCAAGGACAGGAGACATTAGACAAGGCTAGTAGGGTAATGAAGGGCAAGGCCAGTTACTGAGACAGAAAATTACTTCATTTTCTATGATAATGCTCCGTGTCTCTGCAGGCTTCTTCTCACACTTCGTTAGTACAGCTCTATGTACACACAGCATCAGAACGCTACTCACGGCGTAGAAGGAAAGAGCCTTGGAACATTCCACAGAGGGGCAGAGGGCTTGGGGCTGGCATTTTGAAAGGGGGAGGCTGAGAACAATGGCAGCAGAAGGGGGTTAGACTGTGAGGTGAGGAGCGGTGTTTTGACGGAATGGGAGGGACGCATGGGATTAAATCAAGACGAAAGACATAGCAAGGAAAAGAAAGAAAAAGACAGCAAACATACTCTGGAAATGCGGAATTGTTTGGAGGGCGAAGTGGACCCAGAACAGGACCAGCTCACCGGCGCTCAGCGAGTCTGCGGGACAGAGCTGTAGGTTTGCTTTGATCATTGGCCTTTTTTTCAGTGGCCAAAATTAAAAGGGCATTGGACACTCGACTCGTCCTCAGCTAGCTGGTCAGCAGACACAATTTCTGCTCAGAGGGAAAATGTGAGATATTTTAGAAACAATTCCAGAGTATATTTAGCTTCTAAAGCTGGGGCACACAAATGTCACATTCTCATGAGACAATAGACCCAGTAAAAAGAGCACCAGTCAGAGGCCCTCAGAAAGCCCATGAAACTCAGGCAGCGCAGGAGAGGCTGCGTACACGGATGTGACATCATCAAGGCACCGACGTCGGGGAATGAGAAGCAGCGAGGGCGTCACAGATTGCTTCAAGTCAAAGGACGTCAGAATGAGTCAGGAAAGGAACAAGACTTATCCAAGGGAATCACGCCATCACCGAGTCAGGGCACACAGCGCCGGGTAAAACGAAACGAAAGCTTCAAACGGATCATGAACATTAAACAGAAAAAAATAATTCGGAACAAAATGGAAATTAAAATCATAAAAACTATGATAAAAAGGAACAGTAAGCTACACCTTTTTAAAACAAATTTCTGCACAACAACTCATTGGCGTTGCCCCATCATATGCATAACCGATTGTCAGAAATCAAACTCCAATTTGACGGGACAAGGCAAGGAGTTAATGGCACGAGAACAGTGATCATGTTAAACACCCATGCAATCATCTCTGCCACCATTGTCTGACAACATGTAGACTGCTTCCAGCTTTGTCAATATTCATAACAAGACCCGAGAGAATGAGCAGTGCCGAATTTTGAAATGATCTGTCAAAGTGTTAATTGGACTCTTCGAGAACCTTCATTCCTTGGGGGAGTTAATGGCTGGAGAAAATTCCCGCTACCCCTCTCGGTGAAGTGAAAAGAAAATCACTGCCACCAGCAGCTAGCTGTTTGGTTGGCATATTTTAATGCTTTACTGGAAAGCCTGTTTGTTTTTTCAGAAAATCGCAGTGGGCAAAAACAAAGTGATTTCTACTAAGTTGTCTCTTTCGGAGAACCCAGCCAAGACTAACACAGCTAAGGGCTGAGCCACACATAACAAATAATGGCGCGTGCGAGGGCTTGTCGGCAGCCAAGGCAGCTTCTCTTCTGTCTGGGGCTTTCTTGGGAGGGTACGAGCAGGGATCCTTTGAACGGAAAGAGGCTGATAAGACAATACTTAAAAAAAAGATTTTGGGCAGGGCCGTAATAGAGGAAGTTTATAGAAGAATAATGAATCAGTTAAAGGGTCGTGCTCAAGAGCAAGACCGAACCAGCCCCATCTTTACATTCTGGCTTGGCAAGTAGAGTTGCAGAGCACACCTCACTCTCAGGAGATGGGAAGCAGAAAAAAAGGAAGAGAATTTAACATGCAAGTCTGCCCCAGAAAACATTCCATAAAAGTAAAGATGGAAAGATGGACGCAGAACCGCCTGGGGGAGGGCGCGTTAGAGACCGTCTTCCGAGGGTCATGGTGGCTGCTCTGCCCTCGAAACGCGCACCCCCACTTGGATGAAACTCTTGAAAACATATAGAAGTAAACAATTCTGAATGGGGGGAAACAGCTCAGCAACATAACTGGGCTTTTCAGTCTCTGATTTACAAGACTGTTTTTTGGACAAGTAAAGGCCTCTTTGGTTGCAGCTGCGACTAAAGTAGGATGTGTTACCAGAAGCAGCAAATGGCGAGGAAAGAGATGACATTTCCTGTCTGTAGTGAAGCAAAGAAAGCAGAGGAGAATTTAGGACAGTTCACAGTAGAGCCCCTTTCATTTAGCGAGGCTTCCTTTCCGTTTTAAATGCATAGCAATTCTACTTGATTAAATAACATATTTTTGTTTTAGCTGTTGTCCTCTGAGGGCGGTGACAGTACATCTGAGGACCTCGGCTCTATTCAAATTCAGCACCAGGCGAAAGTGAGGGATGCTACCAGCCAGAAAAGACTTTGCCTTGCTGTTTCTCAATTCACTGATTAACAGGGCTTTTACTTCAATGACATCCACTTGCCAGAGCCGAATTGCATTCCATCACATCACGGTGGGAAAAGAGGGCCCAAAAATCATGGAACGAGACTGAGAAGGGTTTAAATTAAGGGAACTCAGGAGCTGCATTGCTGTGGCCAAGCCCCACCTCTTTTGGGTAGAGGAAGCTCAGAGGATGTGTTATTTGTTTTGTGTGGTTTCTCCGTGGTCAGGGAGTAATTTAGGATCAATCCTGGAGCTGAGGATCGGGTTGCAGTCTTTTTTGAGAAGCTTTCAAGCATCATGCATTGGAGGATTCAGCTGGAAGCAGTTACACAGTCCTCCCCACTTCCCCCCCTCTCCCCCCAGAGGAAGAGGCATTTCCAAGGCCTTACCCTTCTTGTCTTGGTGATTATGGGAAGACACTGCCCCCAAAGGGTCTGTGTTGTCAGGTGAATCGAGCAGGTGCTTCCAGTCCAGCATTCCTCCCCTAGACTCATATCCCTCTCGAGCCGCCGAATCTGATGCGGTGGTGCTGGGCAAGAGGGAACTGGAGTGGCCTGTGTTTTCATCACAAATACAGTTAAGGAAAATGTCACTGGAGAGATCCAAATTCCCTTTGCTCAGAGGCCAGGAAGGAGATGGGACGCCCATGCTGGCTGTGAGACTGAGGCTTAGTGGGGGTGGGGCATGTCCAGCAGAAGGGCCCTCGGAGTCAGAGGATGAGGGGCCAGATCCTGTCCCTGCTGCTTTGCTGGGTGGGCCTTGGGGAATGACTGAACCTTTCCCTGTGCACATGATGGGGGTAATGACAGACAGCTCCTACTGTTGGGAGGATAAAAATGCAGTGTTCTAGCACAGTGCCTGGCACATAGTAGGTGGTCTAGAAACACTACTGTCCTTCTTTGATATGCCCATGGCCTCACTAGAGACAGAAGTGTCCACTCCAGGGATCCCACCTGTGACTAAGGTGGGACAGGTTTATGGTAGTGGATGAATCTTGGCCCCTCGCAAACAACGCAGCTGCCCTGAGTCCCCGCCACAGAGGCGCCTGGTGTGTCTGGTCATCAGTTTCAACTCAGCGTGAGGGGCATTCCTCTTTCTAGGAGCAGTTAATGCTTTGAAAAGGGATTGATGGGGGTGATGAATGGAATGGAGGTCTCAACTGCTACACGTTATTAGGGCTATGCCTTTTGTGTCTCATTCCAATAAAAATTAGTTTCAATTTTTATTTGCCACTGACAGAAATGGTTCAAACTAGAAAAAAATAGATTTTTGAGATCCAGAGTAGCTAGCAGAAGAGAAGGCCAGAGAAATGGCTAGGTTGAGAGTTAGGGCAGAAACGCTGGCCATTTCCTGAGAATTCATTCGTGAGCTCTCCCTCCATCATTCCACGGGGTTAAGTACAGATGGTATCAGGCACTTTGATCTAAGCCGTCACAATGATTTAAAGAAGCAGGACTACCTGTTCTCTGTGGCAGGAATAAAATATAACCTATGATTTTCAAGTGGAATCTTTGGCTTATTAAACCATCTGATCTACAGCAACCTCTTAAACAATTAAAAAAAAAATCTGGGCAACTGCCGTGCATATATAGTGGGTGCCTTTTGTAGAAAGTAGGACAAGCTCATGGGAATACAAAGCCTCCAGCCTCGGGCCATGATCACTATGTATGTGATAAAGAAAATACCACTAGAAATAAAGATTATAATCATAAAATATACTACAGGTTTTTCCAGTTATTATTGGAAGTTGGATTCCTCCTCAGGGGAATTAAGTATTACAAATTACAGGCAAAAAAAAGTGTGTATGTATATATATGTATATACACACAGTAGAACCTCCATATAGTTGGGACCTTCCTACACCGACCACTTCCAATTAATTGACCTAATTTTCATAGACCGGACATGCACCACACGTACATATCAGTACATGTTGACCATCTCTGTATGTTGACCCCTTTGTCACACTCCTTTGGGGTGGTCCACTTACAGACCACCTACTGTGCGTGTATATATACAGGGTGGACATAAAGTTCATGTGCAATTGCAATGTACGTCAACTTTTTGTCCGCCCTGTATATATATCTGGTGGCTATTTATTTCCTTAAAATGTTGCTTAGCAGAAAAAAGCAAGCCACGTGGCTCATCTAAGCTATAGGGACTTGTATAGAACCTTCAAAATGCCACACAAAGCTTTGGTAACATTGAAGAGGTCTCTGTCTGCAGGGAACTCGTCTGGCTCCCGCACAGTTCCAAACATCTACTTTGTTGAAAATAGTCTGCCTCATATCCAACTGCTAAAAGCATGTTCATTTAAATTCAAGGAATGTTTGACTCTAGACTTTCTGCTTTTACATTTCTGGGTTTCACAACTCATAATACAGATCAGAGAACAGGGGCAGGAAAATCAGCCTGAAAAATGGAAATACAGAATTTCCTGTATTTCGTTTCTGCTTAACATTGAGATTTAAACATAACCTCTCTTTTTCTACTCCTGAATTCATTATTGCTCTAATAAAATGTATGGTTGGCCTACAAGAAGACAATTCAGCACCCAGCATAAGCAAACAATTAGAAATAGCTTTGTAGGAAGTTGGAAAAAGAGAGGAAGAATAAAAAAATACCTCCCCTCCAAGTAGCAAGCTTTCTTTTACCTGAATTGATATGCATTTTCGAACGCTTTCAATTTAACTGTATTCAAGGGGCAATTTTATGGTAATACCGTAAGTATGGTTTAGGGAGAACATTTCTTAATACGGTAATCTAGGGGAAATATATGCCTAAGGGACACATTCTCTGTAGAAAGATTTCCTGGCCCATATGCTGCAAATACATGGAAAACTCATTGGTAGTGGAAAGCTATGGCTATGAGAGGAAATTAATGTGGACCAGATGGCAGTTAGGTAGGAAAATGTTTTACACAAATGTGAGAAATCAGCGTATTCCTCCTACCGCCAAAGTGTTAGTCTAATACCCACCACATCTTGATTTTCTATATGTAAATCTAGAGAAACTATGCATCTTATTTACTCAAAAGAAAAAAATAAAAGAGCAGCATGAGGTTTGTAATCTTTTAAACATGCGTGAGGATAGGGAACACATGCCAGTGGTGAGTTAAACAGTCAGAGAGAACACTACCTGAGTCTCAACAATGTTAGAACCGCCACGTAAAACCACTGTTAAATAGCAGTCCTCAGTTTGAAATCAAAGATGTGTTATTATTACCTCTCCAGGCTTAACAGAAATGCTACTAGGAAACCATTTATAGTATTTGTTATAATCTGATTTTAGAAGCTATATTATTTTTATGCATTCCCTAAAGACTTCGCACCAAAATAATGCTATAAAAATAGGCAATCATTTGTAGATACGGTTATTACATGTCAATAGATTTGGAACCTATAATTTTGTCTTGGCCAATAAGAAAGGCTGCATTTTAATCAATGGAGTTTATACTACATTATTCTTATAAAATACAAAGATAGATGTATTTTAAAAGTTAACATCAATGCATCAAATTGTTTCTCTGTATCTACATGTCATTATGATTCCAGAGGTTAGAGACCCTTCAAATTATTCTAACCTATTAACGATGATTGTAGCCAATTAGACATGAAACAGAGACACTAAATCAATACAGGAGAGGGAGAGAGAAGGAAAATAATCAGAGCCCAATTCACTAAAAGGGGTTCTTGTGCATGTTAACTGGTGCTGCACAGAGCTTTTGCCAGTGGAAGGTGTGCATGGTCTGTTGAAATGATCCCTTTTCCAGAGTTGGGCAGGTTCTGGTTTTGTGACTTTGCACAGAACGTAGGACATGCAAAACACACAGCTAGAAATAGTGTAGGTCCCCTCTGGAGTTTGAGGTTGGTTTCCATGTCTATATCCACGCTCATAAAAATAGCAATTTTGTTCTTCTGATGCTACAAATAGAGCGCCTAGTCCAGTGCCTGAGCCATAGTAGGCACTCAACAAGTATTTGCTGAATGAATGTGTTAATTCTATTCTGGGCTTACTAATTCCCAAATAAGCATCCCTTGCAATAGTTTGTGGGGGTGGGGAGAGTCTCCTATCTTTTTGTAAGTACTGTAGGGACCAGCCCTCATTTTGATGGTCAGTTAATCAACTCACCACTTCATGCTGAATACATTTAGCTTGAAATGGTTCATCACTAAAAGAAAAATTTCAGCTCCTCTCAGTGGTTTCTTCATCACAGAAACCAGTGATCAAGAGCTGAGAACAAAAGGGCATCGTCCTTTAAAGTGTTAATATGGAAGAATTGATAAGGACCTCTCTTTCTGTAAAGGAAAGAAGCAGGATTCATGGCTGGAGAGTGATTTTTTTTCCTAAAAAGCATCCTGTGGTTTAATTATTCTATCAAATGACCGAGAAGTTAAAATTGGTCTTCCTATGATTGATGAATGGTGGGGAGGTTGCTGGTCCAATTAGTTTCAAGGTCTGAGTTTTTCAATATCTGATAAAGATTATTCAATTATAGAAAATGATCGCAAAGTATGATATTGGAAAAGAACGGAGGCTAAGTGGGTTTTCTTTCGGAAGGTGGGCTAAGCTAGATCCCATCTGCCTCCCACACAATTTTTCTTCCAGTCTTCGCTCTGCTTTTTGAAGCATAGTAAAATTTGGTGTTCAATATTCTGGTTTGAATCCTAGAGGACATTAAAAGTGGATGAATTCTGTTGGCCCATCCCTGTGCCTCACTTCGGGGGTGGAGGGGAAGGCAGGGGATACTAGGCACAGCTTTCTGTATCTGCACAGCTCCAGTTTCTTAAGACTTTCAAAGAGGCTTTTTACTTATGCTAATTAGACACAGGGAGTGAGAGTTTACATAGAGCTATTAAGCACGTTTGTAGCTATCTCGAACTATTTCTTTGGATCTAAATTTGCACGGCTTTCTGTCCCTTCCTCTTTCTTTTCTTTGCCCTTTTGCTTCCCCCTTCCTGCCTCTGTATTTAAAGACTATCCTGGAACTGTTACTTGTTACGTATCTTAAACACAGAAACTATAAAATGGCTGTGTGTCATTGAAACACCCAGCCGAGGGGCTTACATTAGCCATCATAAAGATGTTTTTCATATTAAGAAAAAACACACGGCTAGTTTTCCCTAATAAACATCTGAGGATATTTTCAGAAACGTAACTGGAAGGCTACATTTCAACTTCTTGTATAAAGAGTTCAGAATATTCTGTTTATGGACTTGGTAGTTTTGTTTAATATAGCGCTTGTGTACTTCAGATCAAGAACAATAGGATAAATCCTGTTTGCACATCATTTCCACTGCGTCACTCTTCCTTGTATACATTCCGAAGCCATCTCATTGAAAATATGCCTAAATACTCACAGTCTCTGTGAGCTTAAAATTTCAATGGCCAATGTCATACTATATTGGAAAGTTTTGCCTCATAAGAAACTGATAGTCTGCGCCCTGTATAGATTTTCCCCAGCAGAGCTAACATTTTGGGGGGATGGTCCTCTGTATCAGCTGAAGAGCTACAGTCTATATGCTATGAGCACCGTTCTTTTATCTTGAATATACTTACGTCCAAAAGCAATTTCTTCTCCCTCAAGAACTCATTAAATGTATTCACCGAATTCCCCAAGGTTGGCATATTTCATGCTCTGTGGTGGATTAAAAATGTAGGACTCAAGTCTCCCACATCATTGTCTCATATAGGCAGAGTGCTTTTTGAAGCATACTAAAATTAATAAATAACTTTAGTGAATTGGGGCCCTGAAGTAACAAAGAATCTGGTCCATGATGTTTAGTAAATGAAAACTATATGCTACCACAGGACGGATGACTTAAAGAATTAAAAAAAAAAAATCCATAAACTGACCATACACTGTGTTGTGAGACATTTCATAATCTGGTAGAGGAGTTGAAATGTCTATAAAAAAATAATGAGGATAAAAAATTAATTAAAAAGAAACCTACGGTTTGAAAATACTCAAGAGGATTAGTGAAATAGGATTTCTCAGATAGATTTCCAGCAATATTAAATTATGAGAGTAATATCTTCCTTACCATTCAGCGCCACAAAGGAATCTGAAAGACAGAAGGACAGAGAAGGTTACTGAATGGTTTACACTCTGCCTGGGTGACTTCTGTAAAAAATGGGAATGCGCCAATACAGAACTCTGCCATTACATATGAGTCTCAGAACTAAGTGAGTGGTTCTTAATTCCTGCTGGTAATGGGAGGTGCTTCCTGCTCGGTCTGGTTTCACACCTCCATGCCCTCCCACCAAGTGAGTTTCCTCCAAGTCACTGCCTTTGCCAGAAGGCAGAGGAAGAGGAAGAGTTAGCAGAGGGAATGGTAGCTGCGATTCTCTGTGATTTTGAGGGTTTACGCCCTTCTTTATATGGAGTGACGTGTATGGGGATCGAATTAAGTGGTATCTGGATCACCATTTCCAAAAAAGCACTTTTGTTTATGTTCAATCTCATTTCATTCTCACAGCCATGCTGTGAAGAACCGTCTAGTATCACAATCTACTGATTGAGCTCACCAGGGGTTTTAGTTTGGAAATGAAAATAAAAACAAACACCCCCCCCACCCCGAACTCATACCCATATCAGGCAACACGTGTGCATGTAGGTGCATGTGCTGGGGGGGGGGGTGTTCCCTAAGCCTCTAAACTGGCTTTCTGGGATTTCCTCATGTCTCCAATTATTGAAACCCTCTCTGAACACCTGTGTGTGAGCAGTTTGTTCAACAGACATAGTTCATGCTCTGTCAGGAGTGCGGGGTGAGGGGAAGCCATGGGAAAGAAAGGCACAGTGGCAGCCTGACCCCCTGTCCGGCGAGAGTATCTAAGTGCCTCGGCAAGAGTAGTGGGGGTTCAAGTTTGGGGGAAACACAAAGGCAGGTCTAGGGGCATGACTGCTGATGGTACCCTGGAAATAAAGAGTGAATCACGGGCCCTGAGGTCTCCCATGAGCTAGTGACCCAGGCCTCCCTGGGTTCCTCTGCCTGAGAACACGGATATGGTGTGAGCTGATTGGTATAGTGGATGCTTTATAAAGCCAGTAATAGCCACCTTCACATTTTTCACAGATTTCCCGATTCAATCTAAATCAGTATTTTTCTACAGATGCCCATACTGCCAGATCATAGAAATACGATTAAAATGATTCACTTAAGTCAGCTAATTAAGCATGTACACACAAATGTGTCCTAAACCTGTTTCCCTGAAAATGAAGCTTTCAGGCACCAGGATGATCAAGGCTCACTGATCAAATGTTAGACCATTTCACTGATGCAGATGAACACACACACTCGTGGTAACCCTGATTTGGGGGCCAAGATGCAGTTTCTGAGGCTCATTTCTCCACTCATTAATGTTGCCTTTTCATTTGTAAATGAAGAATAAAACAAGGCAAAGCATTTGGAGGCAAGGCTGCCAATAGTCCTCCTTATTTGACTATATCCAATCTCTTAAAAAGATAAGGTAGAAAACAGAATGACATCTTAGAGTTTGAAATTTCAGTGTTCACAGCCGAAAGGCTTATAGAGTTATATCCATGATTTTCATTACAGAATCAAATATCGGAAGGAAAACGTTCCGTTTCCTTAGGAGTCATTATTTGGTGCCATTTTGAATGCAAGCTTCTTGACGTTCAGCATACGTATCATTTAAAATAACATAAACTAAACATATTTTCTGAGAGTATGGTACTATTCCTAATTTAGTATTCATAAAGATGTTTTTCAGGAGAATTTTGATATTGATCAGGTCACTGGATGGACAATTGGGCAGAACTTGACCAGGATCCTTTATACATATAAGGTTCTAAGTAAAATGTTGTCACTTAAAAACATTTAAAACAAACTCTAAAATCCGCATAGCAAGCCCATTCCTACAAAAAGGCTATTTTGAATTACCTCGTACTTATGGGTTACTTCTAAAATTTTGTTCTGTCACAAGAAGACTAAAACAGCCTCGCTCAATTAAAAAGCTGAGTACCATTTTTATTATTTAGCTAAAAATGACAGTGTAATAGCACATTTAAAAAAAACAACAAAACTGTCATTTTGTAATGAAAACGCTGATATAACTTACTGTTTTATGATAATTAATATCCTGTAGAGTGAATTTGCTCCCCGGAATTAGAATAATGAAATTGGTGCCAGCACTTCTAGTGACAACATGGACAGCACTGGCTTTGGAACACACTGCTTGCTTTAGTTGATACTTAGAAGATGATTTCTGTTATTTATGCATTAGTGGCAGCCACACTCAATTCCACATGTGGGGCGATGTTTCTAGGCCATTTGATGAAAGCATCTTTGCCCAAAGATAGAAATGGATAAAAGGCTGTACTTACTGTGACAGTCTCCCAGACCATCTGTATTGCCACGCTCTATGTCCTGCTCAAAAGTCAGTCTTTAAGAACAGGAGGAAAAAGACAGACAGAAACAGATACAATAATGTGAGTCATTATTCAGGAATGTGTCTAAAGTTTCACTAAAGAAAGCGACACAGTTTGATAAACGGAGTGGCAGGTGCAAAAAAGAAATCGGTAGCAGCGTGAAAATTTATCTCTGCCATTTGCACTGGCTTGAGTCTCCAAAAAGAAGCCATGGTTTAAGCAGCGAATTCAGATGTTGTTCAAGGATTTAATTAGTCTGTGGATTACTTCTGTCTTTCTTTTACTTTGATTCCCTAAGCACTTCTCAAACATTTGTTAAAGTTTAGATATTAAAATACTTCTCATGTACAGATGGCTCAGAAGGAAGACTTTTCCCCCTCTATTGTCTTGCCTTTGTAAACCTTTACCTTTCTTTGCTTAGAAAACCTGTGTGAGTGAAGTGTTCAGAGGTCCGAAGGGCCACTGGTTACGTGAAGCCTGTCAGGGACCCGACCTGGGGTGGTGGGGTGGCATTTTGCTGAGACTCCTTGGGTATTTTATACACTCCTGGCTTGCCCTAAACCTCAGGAAGGAGTGTTACCCCCACTCTCTCCCAAAGAGTCCACTAAGTCACCACTGGGCTATATGAGCTACGTCTCATTAACAAAACCAACTTTGATAGTATTAATTTTGATTTTTAAAAGCAGCACACTAGAATCATTCAAAGGAATACTGTCCTTATTTGGGAGAACTTCATGCTTATCTCCATCATATAACTGAAATTCCTGTTTTGTAACTGCGTTCAGAGTTTATTAATGAGCCACATAGGAAAACTATTTTCAAAGTCACATTTTTTGCTAAGAATCCACTGTGTTCTGTTTCTGCTGCACTGAAAAATCACGTTCATCCTCAAAGAATAAAGGTTTCTAGTGGTACTGAGCGTCGATATTCGTCATGCTCTGAAGCGTGCCCTCCAAGGGGAGTGCCACGTGTTTTGAGCAATGCCAGCAACTTTGAAACATGCAGGCAAGCCAGTATTCTGATGTTGACTTAAAAATCATTTTTGAAAAATTCAGTCTTATTATCTTTGGTTACATGTTGAATATAGAAGGGAGACAAGTCACGTTTTAGTTAATCTCCCTGTGCTTTGCCGTCCTTTCTCCTCCACCTCGAGGGTTCCCATGAAGACACATAGAGCTCTAACATGAGACTATGTCAATATCGCTACTTGTAAAGCTGTTCTAATAATATATAGTGAGTCAGTCCTCTGTATGGAGCCCGACTTCCAGGTCAGATTTTACAGTTGTCATTAGCTCTGTTTATGAGAATACTTATCCTCAAATGAGGCAGGTGGCAGTCATCAGATAAGCCCTTCTGTCTGTTTGTCTAGCTATTCTAAAATAGGAAAGGACTCTTGAAGGGATATAAAGATACTTCTATTTCCCCTTTGGATCTGGGGAGATTGAATAAATGGCTGGGATGAAGGAAAGACCTTTGCTGCCATATGGCCCCTTCCTTGAGTTGCCACAACCTGTCAAAGACATGCATCAAATATTTTCCCAAATGTTATTTTGGATTTCACATCCAAAACATAAAAAGAAACCTCTTAGCCAATGGCATCTAAGCATTGAAAGCCAGGGTAACAATTTTATACACCAAAATCCCAGGCGTGGTGGACAGGCTTGATCTGGCTGATCTGTTGGCAAACTGCCAAGAATTGATTGACTGCCTAACGAGTAGCAGGGTCAACTGCTCTTCAGCTCAGGAGGAAGGTTTATTGGATGTACACACCACGCTCGCAGTACAAACGCACTGCTTAACAAATGCTCTGCAATTTCTTCTCTGCCCTGCGCAGTCAATTAGAAGAGCCAGTGTTGCTGCAGCCGGACAAAGCACTCGCTAATCTAATTGGTATCCGACTGCTCCTTTTCTCCCACCGTGAAGATCAAGGCAGGCAGCTTCTGTCTCTCTCTTCAGGGTATACTTTAATCCCCATGGTGTTCCCTTTCTCTGTGTTTTTAATCAGTCTGAGGATGATTAATCAATTGGAAATCTGCTATGTGTGATGTTGTGAGGCTCTATGGAACGGGAGACGGAAGGAGAGGGGCTGACCGTCCGTGGCCGGGGTGTGTACACGGGGGCCGTGTCGTGTGTGCCCGCACGGTGAGGCATGCGTCTAGAACACTCAGCAGCCAGCGGCTACTTTCTCCTTTCCTGTGCTTCGGGTCCTTACCTGCTGCTGGGGAACAGGTGGGCGCAGGCACCACTTTCCTTCACCCACCCACAGTATGGGTCTCTGGAGGCGATGCAGGTTCTGCGGGAAGAGGATGACCATGAGCTCCCTGGGACTTTTTCAACATCGTAAACTTTCTAACTGTCAAATACGTACTTTTTACACTTCCCGTGCCACTCGCACCGGCCCAGGGGAACCTTTATCACACAGGTGGAGAAGGCGACATACAGAGAGCTGCTTGCCCTGTCCAGCTGCATGCCCATGATCCTCTTGTCTTCCACGCCATCGTAGCTGCATCTAAGTGGTGAAGCAGGGTAATTTCATTACTGCGCTCTCTTGGGCCAGTGCTCTTTTTCCTGCCACCACCCTCCCATCTCAGTTCCCAGCCCACAAGCTCATCTCTTAATCTGAGCTAACTGGAGGTGAAACAGATCCTCATTCACACACACACACACACACACACACTACTGGCAAGGAGAAAATCTTTTTATCTCTTAACATTTTTTTACAAACAGCATTAAAAGTCATTTTAAAAAGCACAGAACTGAAGCCTGCATGATTTCCTCTGAATGGAAGAGATCTTGATAGCATAACGAATAATGAGTGAGAAGGACCCAAACATTGTACTCACTTCTCAGGGTTGTAAACGCTCAACTCCTCCAGGAAGAGGCTGTCATTTAGAAAACCACTGTTTCCTATCCTGGCCAAGAACTTCAAGATGATTCCCTTCTCCGATCCCAGAAAAACCACAGTGTGATTCTGATACGGCCCAGCAGCGGTGTCCACTGCAATTTTGGTCAGGCGGTATCTGAAATGACAGGATCACATTTTTTATTTTTTTGTTGGTCTGTCATTAAAGTGTCCCCTTTTCCACTTCAAATGCCTGTGATATAGCTTTCTAGTAATAACCTCAAGAAAAATATATGCATATAAATGACATTCTTGTGTGGTTCCAGTCCTTTATTTTCATACGCAGAGCATTAGCGTGGCTCCAAAAAGAAGGTGGGAGGCTTGTGTGTGGGTGCGTGTGGGGTGTGTGTGTGTGTGTGTGTGCGTGCAGGCCAAGTTCCATAATAAATAAGCAGTTATAACCATCTGAAACCATTCAGCAATGATCTCTTCCATGAGCAACAAAGAAAGACTGGTATCTTTTATAAAGAGGTAAAAAAAATAAGTGAGCTCACTTAACATTTCATTTAACTTTGAAAAGAAAAGCAATGACTCCCATCTCTCCAGACTCTTCCTGTGAGGTACAGTGCCTTCATCAACACCATGTCAGACTGGAAAGCTTTCTGTTGTCCAGAGAGGGGCTGAGAAAGTTCCGAAGCATGGGGAGGTGGCATGCTAACGGCGCTCCTCATAAATAGGATGACATGCAAATAAATGATACCTGCCGAATGCCAAAGGCGAAGGCCATCCCTAGGATAAGTCCTGCTGGGCGTCCTCTTTCTCTGAAAACCCTCCCTCATTCAACATTCCTTGGATCTATCTGTCCTAAGCACCATAGCTGGAACCAAAATATATGGATCTTCTTGTAAGTTATATACCCCGGTTTCCATCCCCTGGGCAAGGGCTACCAGAGTACTTTCATATCTTTCCATAAAGTCACAGTATAAAAATGGTGATAAAATTAACAGACATTTTGTTTGATGACTGCCGCAATCAGATGGTACTTGAAAAAGCCTGTTGAATTGTTTGGAAATAAATTCTAAAGGGCTACAAGAAAGAGTACTTCATGTTATCACAGCTCTCTAATCAGCTATCCCTTCTCTGTTCCGCCACCACTTCAGATAACGAATAGCACATCATGAATCCTGCACTCCGGCTAATGTGGTGTCTGTGCTCTGCTTCACAGCCACCCATCCGGGGGCCATGCTCAGGGGGACTCTGCAGCATATTTTGCAATCACACCCGACCAGACAGGTATCCACATCCAGTTGATGGTTCTCCTTCACTGCTCCTCTATTTTTGCAGATTGGATTTTATACTAATCCCATAGGAAATAACTTTCTTTCCTTTAATTACTGGCACGTGTCCAAGGAGCCTGAAAATATTGGAACTCTTCTCACCGAGAATGTGGCTATGGGGGTTTTGTGGCACCCACCCAACTGGCCAACATTCCACAGCTGAATCAATGCCCAGGATAGCAGAAAATGTTTGTGGCATTTCAAAGAGTGATCCACCGATAGGTTCTACAAGCATGAGGTGAAGTCTTTAGGGCAGGGTTTGCTGGACACCCACCTGACCATCGTTCTCAGGAACCACGGCCTGTTGAAGATGGAAGGGACGGCCTCATCCATGAGGGGGTGCGTCTTGATGAAGTTCAGGGTGTCATCAGGAAACTCATTGGAACTTGTATATTTTTCTAAGGTGGATGAGCCCGCACAGCAACCCGGCCTAAAATGAAATAAAGGGCGGGAGGGAGAGAGCTTATTTTGTGCTTTATGGCAAATTCTCTGAATGAGCTGCTTCTCTAAGCATTTGGCATGAAGGAGAAAGTGCTGCAGGCTCAGAAGAGGGAGTTGAACAGCACAGAATGCCACCGAGTAGAATATGCTGAGATTTCCTCTGAGAAATTTCCTCCACCCCCTCACTTCATAGAAGGGCCTCAGCCAGTACTGCGTGGCCTTGGCTGGGGCCAGTTTGGCTTCCTCTAAAAAGCTCAACTAAACCCCAGTCAACAGCTTGAAACGAGTGAGTGAGTGTGTTTTGTACATAACTCAGGACGGCCTTAGTTATTCAGATACTCTGCTAGAGGTTGTTAATGTATTTTGCTCTACACAGGGAAGTAGAAAACAAAGACAGTCAAAAAGCCACCAGGTGCTAGAGCAAGACTCAATGCAACCATCTCCCGTTGTCTGGGGCTCTCTCAGAGAACATTTTGGGTTTCAGTTTTTATTGTTGTATGAAAAGCCAATTGTCCAGAAGGTTTTTTCCTAAAAGGTCATTTCCTTATAACTGAACAATGATGGTGAAAATTGGTTACTACAAGAAATTCTACAGTTTCAGGAGGCAAGAGACGTTTCAGCCAAGTCAGATCAGGGAATCGCTGAAACCAAGCCTGTCCAGTTGCCTGTTTTGCCCAGTGGTGCAGGAGAGGTGATCAGACCCTCACAACACCAGCATGCGCTAGCCCAGTGTGGACACTGCTTCCAGGAACTATCCTAGCCTGCCCCGTGAAAGCATCCTGATTCTGCAAGAGTTTGGAAAAGGCCAGGCCCTGGAAGGAGGTGGGCAAACCCACTATCACGGACGGGTAGGAAATCACTTCAAGTGTTCTAGTGATGGCTGGGTGACACCATCTTTACAAACCAAGGAGAGAGCCAGACATAAAAGCTTTCTGGAAACTGATGTCTCAGGCTTAACTCCTCTTCCTGCTCACCTAGAAGGTAGTTAACCATCCCAGGCGACAGTTTGAACAGTCTATCTGAGGTGGCCAAGGTGTGCTTTTCCCACCTAGTCTGTTCTCTATAAGCAGCAGAGGACCAACATGTCAGAAAATTCAGGTGATGAAGGTGGATGAACCCCATGGGTTTCTCCCCTAAATGTAGCAGTTTCTGCCATCCACGTCAGCTCAGGTAATAAGTGTACTCAGGTAGGGACTCTGTAGGGAGGACTGGAGGCTGGGGGAGAGATCCAGAAATCCAGTGACAGGGAGGCAGATAGGCCAGGAAGTTTCTATAACACTCAGACTACAAATGCTGTCAGGGGTGAGTGTGGTACCCAGAACAGGCACACTCCGACCTGTGCAGGTTAGAAAGAATGAGTCAGCTGGCTTAGCGTGCAAACCAAAAGAGATGACGTCGGACCAAAATGTCTCTGCACTGCCTCTGGACCCTGGGTTCCCAAGGAAGGCAATTCCAGGGTGTGATTTGTGGGGATCATATTGTCCTGCACCTGGACACCAACAGACCAGCACCTGGCAGACCAGACACATTCTAATAGCCCACTGTTTCTGCTAGATTCTTCTTGTTCTTGGTCTGGAATCCTAAAGTCAGCTGGATCCAGCTTGGTCACCAAATCCAGGGAACACCATTCATATCGCACATTTTATTAGAGTTTAAAGGCACAGTCTGTCTAAACTGAAGAGGTAGGGATGGACAGTGGAAATAATCTCCCCAGCTGTGGGGACTTGTACAACCACCTCTGGGCCTCTGTTTCCTCACCTGTAGACCAATGTGGCCGGCCGTATCAAACAGTTCCTATTATCCCAGCATCACACTGATAAATCGCGGGTAGAGAGGTTAAGCCAAAGACTAGGGGGTTCTTGTTTTGAATGTACTAAAAGGTAACTCTTGAGCTTGGTTAATGGGATGAAGGCAAATGATATAATGGGCCTTTTTATTGTTCTGGCACGTTTATCTGCTTGGCTAGCGCAGAAGACACTGATAGGCAGTTTACAGGATGTCCTCTGTCCGAGGAGCAAGCATCACTATTTCTGAAAATTTAAAATAGCCCAACACACACACACACACACACACTACATATATTTGCACACACCTTGGTTTAGGAACTCGTTCATCAGGAACTGGTGTCCAGGTGGAATCCGGTGACTTCTGTTCCTTGAATCGCCCAGTAAAGACATTGGCAATATCGAGCATGTCATAGGCACAGACTGCAGAGCCAGGGATGCTACAAAATGACGTTTCATAAACAGTATTACTTATGCAATGTACACAGTTTGAAAAATGTGCTCCAAAGAAACTTCCCTATTGTAGGCAATTAAAATTTGAATGAATGTAAGGGATCTGTGTGCATATAAAGAATGTTTCTGTCAATCAAATTCGCAGCCATGGCCTTAAAGAACAGACTAGTTACAGCAATCGCACAGAGAGAAACCAACCCCTTCATGTCTACACTGCCTTTTGAACTGCTTTTATTTATAAAGGAAGAAATGCTGAGCTGGGGATAAGTTTCATCAGTTTCTTAATATTAATTGTCAGTAACCCAAAGATAAAAATCTCTGGAGAACAGCTTGCATTTTTAGCATTAGTGAAAACTTGAAACAAATGTGCCCCCAACTGCACACAAATTGCTCCTTTAAATTTAGTTCTTTAAGCTAAGGACTCAGGGTGTGAGAATATGTCTCTGTACATTAAAATTTTTATTTCCTGATTACTTGCCTAAGACTAAACAATTTAAGCCTTTAAAACACCAGCACTTTGCAAATGAAGTGTCCTACAGAATGCTAAATAACATAATGACAGTATTTGTTACCTATATAATGTCCTTGCTGGACACCCTTGGAAGGACTTAGGGTTTTATTTTTTTCCATGAGTAGTGGGAAGAAATGAATTCTTGATTCATCTGGGTACCCAGTTTACATTTGAACCCACATTTGTTTTTGACAGTGGTCTTTCCTTAATTTTGATCAAATAAATTGTAGGTACCAGCTGGCCAACAGTTTTAATCAGGCTTTGAGGTAGTGGGCCGTTCGTTACACAGCAGGAGACATGGGGAATAGGCAGCGTGGGGTCATCACCCAGGGCAGAGAAAACAATTTAGTCCTGAATTTGCAAAAGCTGAAAGGATATGGAAATCGATTCACCAAAGAGTGGGAGCATTTTATGCCATCTTTAATTTCCTAACACAATTACTGAAGTATTACTAATAAAGCAAGAAATAGGGAGAGGATTAGAAAGCTTATTTAATACAAGATGGCTGGATCAATTTTAATGTGTATATATGTATACATTGTTCACAGAAGTGAGTATATAGGACAGTGATCCCCACTGGGGTTGGCATTCCAGAACCTGACATTATTTAATTCTGTAAGACTCCCACCGTCTTCCTTTCCTAAAAGTAACAGGTGAACATACCGCGCCTTATATCTGAAGAAAAACAGGAGATAAATTCTGCTTGAAGTATTTTATGATGCACCTTGTAATAACTGAAGATGTCCTAGGGTTTTCTAACTTCCCCAGGGTTAGACTCACTTGTGACGTTACCTCCCCTGCTTTTCTTTCTACCTCTTTCCCTTCCTTGTCTCTTCTGTTCATTTCTTTCTCCCCACCTTCTGTTTGACATATACAGAAGGTGCCAAAAATATGTACACACTTTTTAAGATAGGAAAAAACTGCAGTAATTTGGTAATACTCGAGTCATGTTGGATTTCCACAATTATAAGAGGTACTCGACATAATGTGTATTCATCTTTTGTTACTGGTTATATTACTACAATTTTAATACAATTTTTTTTCTCATTCTTAAAAATGTCTATACATTTTTTGGCATTCTCTGTATTTACGGAACCCCTGACCTAATGTTGTGCACAGTCTGTCAGTAGCAGAGTCTGGCCCTCAGGGGGCTCACAGCTCAGTGGAGGCAGGTAGAATAATGCTCTCAGTAACAGTGACCATGACTCCAGGACAGTATGGTCAGAGCAACCTATCAAAGAAACATGCACACGGTCCAAAGGGAGGTGACTGAGACTTGAAGCACCAAAAGGTTTCAATGGGCAGCTTCTAGTCGTGCTGACAGATCTCACACAGCATGGCACGTTCAAGAGGCAGATCTCAGCTCGGGTAGGCCTGCGGCGGAGGCTGCGTGGCAAAGGATGGAAGGAGGAGATGGGGCCAGACCCTGAGGAGACGGGCACGCCCTGCCAGGAAGCTTGGGCTTTGTCCTCACAGCAAAGAGGCCCGTAAAGGGTTAGAAACAATCTGACGTGACCAAGTCTCCGTGTCTAAGGGACAGAGTGGAGAGGGACGAGACCAGGGGAGTGAAACCAGAGAGGGAATATAATTTAGAGGTGAAAATGGGCATGTGTATTTTTAAACTATGAAGTTACATTACCATTTTCTTTCTTTCTTTGAGAGTTTCACTTTGTCACCCTGGGTAGAGTGCCATGGTGTCATCATAGCTCACAGCACAAACTTTTGGACTCCAGAGATTTTCTTGCTTCAGCCTCCCGAGTACCTGGGACTCCAGGCAGCCACCACAATGCCTGGCTAGTTTTCTCTATTTTTAGTAGAGATAGGGTCTTGCTCTTGCTCAGGCTGGTCTAGATTTTCTGAGCTCAGGCGATCCACCAGCCTTGGCCTCCCAGAGAGCTAGGATTACAGGTGTGAGCCACCACACCCGGCCATACATTGCCATTTTCTGATTTTACCAGACAAATATGGTTTCTGAGACTACATAAGCATATACTAAGTAAATATTTCTTAGAAGCCATTTAAGAAAATACTTTAAATGTAATATATATAACATGTAGGAATCTACTACTATGTTATAATCACAAAGTAACCCACACCCCAGAAAGAAAACAAAAAAATCAAAAACGTGAAATGTGCTCTTACATTCCACTAGCCCCACGTGCCAAGATAGTGTATTTTTTCCATATCCTAGATAGATGGGTTCTGATGTACACGTATGAACAACCAAGCTCTACATTTTTAAAAATATACCTTCTATCTTCAAGTCTAAAAATCTCTATAGGTGATTACAGCTGACTCAAACCCAACTAAATACTTCTTGCGGGAATCGTATTCTTTTCTGTCTCCAGAGGGGAACCTGGAGTCTGGCCTTCTGCATTACTGAATGCATCTCGCAGCTTGCTCTACCACCCCCAAACGTTCCTTTCGAGGTGCCGTCTACCACCCTCACCATTTCTGTGCCTTTCATCAGGGATCAAGTTCTTACAGGTCTTTGGAAACAGTAAGCAAGGTCGGGTATTGTCAGAGGAAGCTGGTCTTTACAGAACATCCAACGTTCTACACAGAGATGCGAACTCTCATGAACTCAGATTTCTTGGCTGTGTCCAGAGTTACCATCATTTTCACATAACGGTGCGAAGACCCTGAAATCTTGCTGGTTTGATAGAGAGTTGAGTAGCAGGGCGGGATCCTAAAGCTTACCTTCCTTCTGTTCTTTACGAAGAACAATTAGTAGTGTGTCATTTGATGGCTGAAAGTTTTACTTTTAACTAAATTTAAAAATAGGAATGCCAAGCTCACATTCAACATTTCTAGGTGACTTGTGCATCCTCACTGGAGCAATCCGGAGTCAGACCATGGTGCTGTGGTTGGGATCTGGGCCATGGTCCAATCTGTGGAGTGAGGTCACCCTTGGGTGACTTCTCTGAACAGGGTATTTCCAGTGTTTTTACTTCAAAAGGTATTGCTCCCATCGTGGCATATTAAAAATCAAACATCATAGCAAGTTAGTTGACCTAAAGAGGGAGGAGGAACTCTCTAAGTTCCAAAGCTGCCTCTTCTATCTACTGACTTAGGAGCATAATATTTTGAGCTCAGAACAATTTTATCTAGACTCAGAGGAAAGTCCAAACATTTTTCTTCTCTGCTACAATTGGAAGAAGAAGAGTTGTCTCGGGCTACATATTATATACACAGGTACTGGCCAGGCATAGCAGTTTAGGTCTGCAATCACAGTACTCTGGAGGGCTGAAGCAGGGGGATCCTTTAAGCTTAAGAGGTCTAGGCCTGAGCAAGAGAGAGACCCTGTCTCTACTAAAAATAGAAAAAATTAGTCAGGCATTGTGGTGTCACTTGTAGTCACATACTCAGGAAGCTGAGGCAAAAGGGTTGCTTGAACCTAAGAGTTTGAGGTTGCTGTGAGCAAGGCTGACACAACAGCACTCTAGCCTGGGCAACAGAGTAAGACTCTTGTCTCCAAAAAAAAAGTACATAAAAAAATAATGAAAGCTGATGAGCAAAGAGGATCCCTGCACAATCTTCATAGCATCTGACACATAGATAAGTATAAAAAGTCCTTCCATAATCCACATGCAGCCCCCTGGCTGCAGGTTGTACACCCTTGATAAAGTTTAGGGTTACTGGAGAGATTTAGAAATAACATATGGAGAGTGTTTATTTATGCCGGGCACATAAATAGAAGATATTGTTATAATTTATCTAATTACTTTCCCTACGATCCTAGCTTCATAATGCTTATAAATTACTATTAATTTGTCGATGAAAACTAAGCATTAAGTGCTTCTTAGCTACAAACAATTTAGAAACAGTTGGTTGCGAATCTTGTGTATTGGAGGAGAGCCCCTTGGGAGAACCAAGCCGGGGGAGAGCCGATGAGGTCAACACAGCCAGGCATGCTCACCTGTTATAAGGTGTGGAAAAGGTTGCCAGGACAACATCACGGCCATTAATACGAATCACATCTGTGACCGCCTGGAGTATGTTGAAATAAAAATGAGAGTCCCCGGGCACCGAGCAGTTCAGGCGCGCCTTCAGGAAAGACGTCCACTGTTTCTCCAGGACTCGCTGAGACCCTCCCATGTCATTCTTGCAAACCTGAGCCACCCTTGGGAATACGACCTGCAGAGGAAAAACACAGAGGGAAAATGAAATGAAGTCATTTTGTGAGGAGACCTCGCTAGAATTTGCATTTCCTTGCAAATAGAGACAAAACAACAAGGTGTTTAATACTTTCTAAAATCAGTAGCAAAAAAAAAAAAAAAAAAGGAGGAAAACTCAGCATTGGCACAGCATGTTTTAAAAGATAAGGCTGTGGCATTTAATACAGAGCTATAAATCCTTCAGGGGATCAGCTCCCAGCCACATAAACTCATTTCCATACAGACTGCTTAGCTTTTTATTTCCTCAAACAAAAGCACACTTTGTATGCATCATCTCTGCCGGCCTCACGCCAGCCTCTGGGCTCTGAGTCTGGGCAAGCCACCCCAGCATTTGATTTGGCCCTCCAACCTAGGGACCTCATCTCCTCCCTGGGAAAATTACCTGAAATGGACATCCCCTAAGGGTTCTATGGCTTTTTGCAATGATGACCAAAAAAAAAAAAAAAAGACTCAGTTTACTCCCTCTGTGGAGCAACTCAATTAAAAAGAAAGCACCGTGGCGTTTACCTGGAAACCAACGTCTCAATATAGTTGAAACCCAGTATGGGATCAACCAAACATCTGTCAGTTAAATTTTCAAGTGAAATACCTGAGAGGGTTCCTGTAATTCATTACTGTTCAGAAAAAGCATCCAGGGCATCCAGGAAGCACACTGTTTCACTTCTGCCAATCTTGGGCCGCATATTCTTAAAATGATGACCTTGTGCTTTGATTTGTGCCTCCCGTTTCAAGGTCATTCATAACAACACTGGTTCAAAGTGGGTTTCTACAAATGTGCCACAGGGAGTGAGGGTGGCCCTCCCCTACCTTTCCCATGGTGTTGTACTCCACGGCTATTTCCCTGAAGAAGAAGTAGATATAGTCTCCATAATCCACCGCTTGGACAAAGTATGGTTCTGTAGACAATCGGACACTTTAATTGAGAACATGTCACACAGAGTTAAAAGAATTTCAGTCAAGTGTAACCAAGGGCATGTTATTAATTAAAAGTATAGGGCCATTAGACATTTGGTTAACACTAACCATTTTTAATGACTTCACACGTACAAGTGCTGGTGATTTGAGGAGGCATTCAAGCTTACAGATTGCAGCTTTCAGAAGCTTTGCAATCAACAATAAAGAATAACTGCGTTTTGCATATCTCTGTAATTTTATTTTCCACAATGGCCTGCTCAGATTACAGAGAGGATTTGGAACGCAGTGCCTGGTCGCCCTGACTTGTGCTGGGTATGGATAGCTTTTTTCCTCTTCCCCACCACCTCCAATCCCCTGTCCCCATCCATGAATGAATTGTTCTCTTCTTTTCATCTGGGACACTGTGATGAGAGTCTGAGGCAGGGAAAGATGGATATAATGGCTGGCATTGGTAGTTTTCTAAATATTCTAGAAACTCATGGGAAGTGAAAAAGGAAGGTAAATAAATCAGCTCATTATAAGAAGCAGCTTACACGGTTTTGTCTGTCAGAAGCCATTTCAAAAATGAAGCTATTTGTGGTGCCCACAGCTCAGTGGGTAGGGCACCAGCCACCTACACCAGGGCTGGCAGGTTGGAACCCAGCCTGGGCCTGCTAAAAACAACAATGACAACTGTAACCCCAAAATAGCTAGGTGTTGTGGTAGGCATCTGAGTCCCAGCTACTTGGGAGGCTGAGGCAAGAGAATCGCTTAAGCCCAAGAGTTTGAGGTTGCTGTGAGTTGTGACACCACAGCACTCTACTGAGGGCGACAAACTGAGACTCTGTCTCAAAAAAAAAAAAAATGAAGCAATAGACCGGTCCATCCAGACTCTAAATCTTCCACAAAACATGTATTCCCTCCCCACTCCTTTCTTATTTTAATTGTTCATTCACCTTTCAACCATTTGGAATCGTGCTTGACAGTCCGCAGGGTAGGGCTGTCTCCCAGGCTCCGGTAAATGACTGCATCGATGGCAAGGAAGTCAGTGACCGTGGCCGAGTACAGCTTGCCATCTTAGAAGAGAAAGAAAAGAGGTGCACAGAGTGGGAGCAAGACCGGGCAGGCAGAGGGATAATAAAGACGTACCTCCCCCAGACTGCCTCCCTACATCAGGCAAATGAGATAGGACAACTGGGGAAAATCCAAGAGTTGCTGGGAAAACACTTGGCCCACATTCTTAACCATCTTAAATTGGGATCATGAGAGATGAAACATTTTTCATTTTTAAATTGCATGGCAATTTCATAGAGCAGCAGCAGCTCAGGGAGCAGAGTAAATGAAAAATGTTGTTGGCTTCACTTGATTAGCTGGACCTTGACGGAAATCTCAAGGCCAAAGACCCCCAGACACTGCCCCTGCCACACCACACCGTGCTGAGCTGGGCTAGTGGGAGCCCAGGGAAAGGCCGGCGCTGACTGTTACCACAGGGCCTTTTGAGGACATGCAGGCAGTCCTGAGCCTGAGCAGGATGAGAACCAAAGAGAAAGGGTTCATAAACAAAAAAGCAGCTGATTAAATCACTATCTCCTGAGGGTCAGGGCTCCTCCTTACCTCTAAACCCTGACAATGCAGCTGCAGTAACAGGTATTTGCTTCAGTATTTCCAGAATCACAAATTGAAAACATTCTGATGTGTAAGATGCCAAAGCAAAGAAGAAAGGAGAAGGAGTGATGCTGAGTTCACACTAGCCTTTCCTTAACTGTAAGAATTCATGCTTTGGGGGAGATATGCTTCAGGGTATATCCCAAGCAAAAGAGAAGGAAGTGAAGATTAGTGCCTGAAACTTGTGGTACTTTTCTGCCTTAGCAAACACTCTGGCTACAAAAAATTATATGGGATATTCTAGGATAGTAAAATCTAGGTAGATTGGATAAAAACAATAATTATGTCCAAAATAAAAAATGACATCCTTAATTACAGATTAAGGATGGGTTACAGATCTTAACTAATTGTGCATTAAAGTGACGTCTATACACAATTTAAGCACTTCCATGCATTCCACGTACAGAATAAGCAGCACGGTCTTGCTAAAAGAAAGCTTATCTAAATAGAAGCAAAAATCTTGATATGAAATTTTCCCAAGTTCAGGGTATAGCTGTCTTGATATCTGCATTATGAAAAGCTTTATATCAAGGGTTGACTGTTTTGGTAGATTTGAACTGCGGACAGCAAACATTTTTGTTGACAAAAAATATTATCTACAAATCACAACTTTTCTTATGGAATATAAGACCTAGATCATAAACATATTCCTTATGTATTTATGACTAAAGAATACATATTCTATATTCTTACGGCCCCAAGTCACACCTGGGCAGTGTGGGTGGGCGGCAGTGATGGGGGTTCTTCCTAACCACTTTTCTTGTTTTACATTCATTTCAACACAGGGTATCTCACCAGCACTTTTACTTGTAAAGCAGAACATTTTCTGCCACTTTTGGTTAGGAAGCCATTCATCCTCAAGGCAGATTTTCTACTAATAAGCACTGAGCTGAGCTTTAAGACATTTTTAACATTTCCATGAAAAACTACTCAAATATACCACTAAGGGTGGGGGCAGTCATAGGATTATCTCCTGCGCCTCGTTCCAGCTCTTGGAAGCTTGGTGGCCTTAGTAAATAATTCTGCGAATTCTCCCTTTTATACCTCAGGCTCCAACAAGTCTTCTTTTTAGTTTACAGCTAAGTTTAAATTCTCCCCTACAGCCCACTTCCTCCAAGGTCCCAACTAAAGCAGGTGCTAAGTGTCTGGGAGGTGCTTCAGCTGCTCACGCACTTGGGGACCTGCTCTAGTGCTCTTGCCACCGGCCCTGCCCCTGCCCACACTGACAAATAGGTCTACCAGACCGTGTTCTTGACAGTGCTGCTGCCCAGTGGCACTGTGCTCTCCCATAGGGGGAGAACTCTGAAACATTTTCGTCATAACTCTACAGTCTGTCACTGCAGACTCAGGTACAAGTGAGTGACACTGAGGAAAAGGTTCAAGGAGCCAGAAAATAATCTTGTTTCATAATCAAACCCCTCAGATCCTCATCCACTTAGGACAGTTTTTAGCTGTCGTGGTAGCTATGACAGCTAACTGCTTCACTACATGCTATGACAGTCACTATTATACCAACACTTCTCTCTGCACCCACCTCCACATACACAGCTGGTAATGAATTGCTAACTGAATTCCTAATTAAAGCACACACACTCATACATGAAATCCGCTAAATCTGAAAATAATGTCCTACTTGCTATGTCTTTCTATCTGTTGCTGTGGAAGGAAGAGGTACGATTGGGGGGATGGGTCAACCCAAGCAGTCAGCATCAGCCCCTCAGCCACCATCTCTCGGTCAGAAACAGGTGAGGGGTGACCTACTCGGGCCAGTGGTATTGGAGAAGATGATTGTTGGATGCTGGTTAGGTATGTGATTTCACTGTGTGGAGAGAGCTTCCAGAAGCTTCCCTTTCCCTTGTTAAGTGGACAAGAAGATACGCAGCCCTGATTGGGGCTGACATCCATCCCCGACTGTGAGAACAGCCAGCCTCATTGTGAAGTTAAGGAAGAGCAGAGAAATGGAAAGGAGGTGAATCCTGGGTAATACTGGGTGCTGGAGAAACGAACCAACCCAAAAGTCGACTCTACCTTAAACCATAAATCCACATGGGTGGGGTTTTCTCTCAATATTTAAACTTTATTTCTGTCTCCCCACATTGGTAGTCTGAGGTGCGATTTTCTATTATTTGAGCCCAAACACGTTCTAACTGATATACTGCATGTCCAGTGCTATGCCCGCATCCCTTCCAGAAGGCACAAAATCGCGGGTAAGTGTGGCTAAGTCTTCTTTTGAGAAGCAAAAGTATAATTCTCATGCAAATGTCAAATGGAAAAGGCGTTCTTAATTACAGTATTCACCAGAGAATTAAAGTAGGACTGTGACTCTGTGAATCCTCCAGAGAGGCCTCTCAGCGACAGGCCGAGACACGCAAAAGCACATGCAACGTGGGGCAATCCTGTAGTTTTACCTGCAAACAGCGCGACATTGGCATGTTTGGCGTCATAAGGGCATCTGGCCATCCCACTAAATTCATCCCCAAAAGGCTCCAGAGTGTCCATCTAAATGAAATAACAGGACTTAATTACAAACAACCACCAACAGTCATAAAGCAACTGATATTTAGGAGATTCCACGCGCTAAGTAAATCATTCACATGCTGGCAAAGAATCCTCACCGATACTTCCTGAGAGAAATCGATTGGTTTTAAATGAAGAAACTGAGGCTTAGAGAGTTTAAGTCACTTGACCAAGGGTCTGTAGCTAGGCGAGTCTGCAATTCGGTCTTATCTGTGTGACTCTTCACCATACAGCATATCCTTATGGAATGCTCTAGAAATAAGCATTCTAAACCAAGGAGTTTCTGAGGCAATCGCTGAGAAAACCTATCCTCCTCAACTCCAGCGATCTGTTGAGTCATGAACTCTAGAGAGAATGAGCTCAGATTCCGGTTTTGTTTTGCCTGAGGAGGGCGGCCTTTGTGGATTCCATCCCAGTAAAAGACACGGGAATTTCTCCTCAGGCTAGTTGGTAGAATCACACGGCCTCAGCACAGATGCAAAAACATGGATGGAAGCAGAGCTCGGTGGCCTTTTGCACCTACTTCAGAATCGTGGAACGGTAGCTCTGGAAGTGACTTTAGGAATGTGTCCCAACTTCAGATCCTGTAGATGGGAACAGAGGCCCAGAAGCTGAGGGGTTCACACAAGTCTAATGCAGTGTGGGGGCTGCTGCTGTTGGACCCCCATCTCCTAGTCCCAACCCAGGCCTTGTTCTTTTTCTTTTTTTTATTGAATGGTAACTATGTACATTAATGCACTTCTGGGGTACAGTGTGGGGTTTTCACATGCAATCTGAAATACTTCCATCAAACTGCTCAACACAGCCTTCATGTCATTTTCTCAGTTATTGCTTTAAAACGTTCACATTCTACTCTTAGAAAGATTCACCTGAACCCCTATAAGATAAACCTCAGAAGTGATCCCTCCAGGCCTTGTTCTTTTATGCTAGAGGTTATAACCCGCCTGCTAGTGAGTTTTGTTTGGCTATTTTAGCATGTTAAAAAAAAAAAGACAGAAAAAGAAAAATAAGAAAAGACATTGAGCCCCAAATTTGTACATGAGGACTTGGATTCCTTGCACCTTATGAGCAAGTGGGAAAGTCAACTCAGACCCTTTTTAACTTAGTTGCAACAGCCAGCGACGGCTGAGTCCCTGCCGTGCTCTTCAGATAAGCATGTGGTCTCCCGTGCTGAGGCCCCTTCCCCCTCCCAACGCGTCTCCATCCTGCTTGTTGAACTCTGATAAGCTACCTGCCTGGTCCCATGGGTATTTGTGGGGTGACAATGCCTTGCTAGCTGCTTACCAAACTCCATTTCTCTCTCCTCCAGATCGCACTAAAGGTCATTTTCCACCTCCTTTGCAGTCAGGTGTGGCCACGTGCCTGAGCTCTGGCCATGAGTGGACGCTGCCTGTAAGGGTGTATGCCACCTCTAGGTCTTGACCCTGTGAACCTCCCAGGGTCCTTCACCATTCCTGCTCCCTTTCCACATTGTCCTCCCTGACATAGAGGACTCCAAGACCCTAGGTGGTGGCAGAGGTACGAGTGGGTTGGAGCCTGGGCTTCTGATAACCCATGGGGTGGACTTCTCTCCCTGACCCACATTTGACTATAATGTGAGCAGGAAATAAACCTCTTTGTTCAACCACTACATTAGTCAGAGGTTGTCCCACCTTGACCAATAAAACAGTGGTTCCTGCTTTATACCACACTGTCTCCTTGCGTAGGCCACGGGATCTTCTTAGCATGCAGAATCTCAACACCACCAACTCCATTAAATGATCTCCCTGTCGTGAAGGTTTTTACTCATTTGTATTTCAATTCTCTTTATAGTCTTAGGGTACCTTGTTTATCCTCTTGGAGCTATATAGTTTGAGCACAGCTTTAAAAATGGAAAGAAAATAGATCCAAGGCAGCCCTGGGGCCAAGGAAGGACCTGTGGACAGGCCTTTAGCCATAAATCGAGGTGCTTAGGTTCATGGCCCGAGAGGAAAGGGTAAGATTCCCACTGAGCAATTGTGTGTTGTCCAGTGAATTTTGCCTTTTCCCCTAAACCCTTTGAAACCATTTCAGGGATGTGACACACCTTTTCTACCTTCAACACTTTGAGATGGACCCTATTAAAGCCATCCTATTTTTTTAAAACTGTCACATAAAATAGTGGTTAAAAAAATTTAGGGGAAAGGTGGCCAAATCAGATGACCTCTACAGCAATGTACTCTCCCCCTTCCTCAAACAGTTTGTATGAAAGACTTTTTGAAGTATTTTATCCCAACAAGAGCTTTCTGTTGAACTGTGACAGACTTTGTGGTCTGTGGGTCTGGCAAGTACTCAAAAGTGACGCTTAGCACACAGGGATGCAACGCAAATGCCCTTCTCCCAAGCCGCGCAACTCTTACCCTGGCAAGTAGGGAAATAAGAGACAAGGAGGATATATTTTCTAAAATGTACCTTCTCCTTAAATGTGGCCTAAAGTGGCTGATGCAAGTCAAAGAAAGAAAGCAGTGAAGAACTGACGTACTGGTTTGTGACCCTGGGGAAGTCCAAAGGCAACATGATGCCCGGGTGAAACCTTCCTTCCACCACAGGGTACAGATGGTTATAGGAAGGACTGGCCTGGCGTTTGCAGAAGTTCAAGAGGATGAGAAGGAAGATGTATGGGGTACAGTTTTAGATTTATAGCGAGCAGCCTTCAAAATTCTTCCCCAGATAATCTTATTTGGAACTATCATCTTTTCTAACACATTCCACTTATTTCCATTATAAAAATTATATAGATCATGGCCGGGCACAGTGGCTCCTGCCTGTAATCCCAGCACTCTGGGAGGCCGAGAAGGGTGGACTCAAGAGTCCAAAACCAGCCTGAGAAAAGCAAGACCTGGCTCTACTAAAACTGAAAAAACTGAAAACCGTAGCCAGGTGGGCGCTGGTAGTCCCAGCTGTTTGGGAGGCTGAAACACAAGGATTGCTCAAGCTTAAGAGTTTGAGGTTACTGTGAGCTACGATGCCACAGCACTCAACCCCAGGGTAAATGAGTGAGACAATTAAAAAAATTAATAAATGAAATACACTAAAAAAAAAAATGTATGCATATATCGAGATCAGGACATGGTGCAGGGGCTGAAAATTTGTCACTCTCCTGCTTCACATTACTCTAACCCACTTGGTGGCAGTGCACTATGATGAGACTTAAGTGTTTTAGTGGAAGACTAAAAAATCTAAGGTCACTGTTTTTGCTTTGAACCTGTCTTGACCAGTGGATTAAAAAAACACTTAAAAGAGAAGCTGTCATTCTCCTGGCAGCCAAATATATCATGTGCCAGATCATCGGCAATGTCACTCAGGGCGCTGAGTCTAAAAGAACACCTCTCTGAGCAACACCAAGGCCTCCCACCACCACTTAGAGTGTGAGGCGTAGCGACAGGGACTGGGCACGAGCGACATTCTGCCTGGAGCTTCTCAGACACCTGGGCTCCCAGAACATGTCTCGGTAGGTGTGGGGAGAACGAGCTAGAGGTGGCAGCGTGACTCTAGGTGCCACATCATGGGAAATGGAACACGTGCAGGAAGAATGTGCTAGAAGACTCACAGCCTGTGCATCACAATGCCAAGAAAACCTGTCATTTGTTGTCAAAGATAGCTTTCCAGCTAGGGAATTCCTTGGGATTTGTTAGAAGCATTAATCTTAATGAGTCCTAAACACCGACAGGCAGGGATGGAATATTAAGTGGCCTGACTCGAGTCAAAGCTCCCGCTGTACGCTGGCCGGAATGAATGCTGGGCTGGGCTGCCTGCCTCTGTTAGGGATCCCGCTTTTATTTAACGCTTCATGTTTTGTTTGTGGTAGATTTTTTTGGTACTAATTTTCATTTTTTTTTAAACTGCATTAAACATCTAATTTACCTTAATCACGAAAGTTTTGGGTGGCCCCTTAATATTCTGCCCCTGAGCTGAGCACTCACTTGCCATGCCCTAATCCTAGTCCTGTTGGTGCCCACTTCCAAGCATAACATGGAAGATGAGCATCGGGGTAAAGAGGCCCTCCCTTCAGGATCTATGCCACGTAAGGCAGAGTCTGGTTCTGATTCCAGCTCTTCCGGGCTTTACTCTTTCTTCACACTCCTTGGGTTTCATTTAATGATGAGGAAACCCAGATCTGCTCCCTACGTCTCTCCCTAAGTCAAGGCTCACCCATGCATGTTCTTGCTAGATATCTCCAGTCACACCCCCGAGGCAGCGCCACCCACTCGGCATAGGCGTGGTGTTCAGAACAGAGCCCTACCCCATCCAAGCTTACTGCTCTTCCTTAATTTCCTGAGTGGGTGCAGGCCCATCCACGTAGCCACCAAAAGACAGCACAGTGGTCATTCTTTTTTTTTTTTTTTTGAGACAGAGCCTCAGCCTGTCCCCCTGGGTAGAGTGCCGTGGCATCACAGCTCACAGCAACCTCCAACTCCTGGGTTCAAGTGAGTCTCCTGCCTCTACCTCCCAAGTAGCTGGGACCACAGGCACCTGCCACAATGCCCGGCTGCTTTTTGGTTGCAGCCATCATTGTTGTTTGGCGGGCCTGGGCTGGGGATTCGAACCCGCCACCTTAGGTGTACGTGGCTGGCGCCTTAGCCGCTTGAGCCACAGGCACCGAGCCATGGTGGTCATTCTTGACATCACTCTCTTTATCCTACACTTCTTATCAATTATTAAATCACACTGGTTTTTGTCACTTAAGGACTTCCTGAATCTCTTCTCTTCCTCTCATTGCGGGGCCACCTCCCTCTCGCCTCTTTCTATCATCATTCATCACTTCAAAGCCCAGCTATTCAGAACCAATCTCAAGAGGCCACTTCTTACTCTGAGCCTTCATTCATGCTGTTCCCCCTACCTGGAATGCCCTTCCTCCTTCATTTAGTTAACTTCTTCTTGTTCTTTAAGACTTATTCCACAAAATCATCTGTTTGTGAGGCACTGTGTTAAGTTCTGGAAAATCACAGGTGTGACCCCCTACCCTTGTAAAGCCTATGTTTCCTATGGGGCTATTAATGTTCCAGGTATGAGAAAAACAGAAAAGTTTGAAGAGAGAGGCCATTGACCGTCTTCCTCAAGTTTTCCCTCACTCCTCATCTCAAGCCTGGGTAGAAATGTCTGTGTTGCTCCTCCACAATCCTCTGCATTATATCAGGGTGGCCGTGATCCCAGGAGATGGCCATTTTCTTCTCCTGCCTGGCTTCCTCAGGGTGGGGTCCTCCCTGCTGTCTTTACAACCTTCTGACCGTGGAAGAAACCCAGTACGTGTCTGCAGGGTGAAAGAGCCGCGGAGACACGTACAAGGGAAACTAACAGATGTGGACCAAGACCTCAGCTCATGGCCACCTCCTCATCCACAGCTGGGGACCTCCTTACTCTTTCAGTGGGACCTCTAGTAGCTGCATTGGAACAAATTGCACCTACTAACTCTTTCTGGTTTTTTTGTTTCTTTCCTTGCATAAAGGCCAAGGTAAGGCAGGCCACAGTCAAGTAAGCTGAGCGCTAATGGAATTAAATTCCTGTGTTCTTGAAAATCTTACCTAGAGGAAAGTCTACGGTTTCAAATGGCATGCTTTTGAGGAACCTTTCAGAATAGAAATCACTCACCATCTAAGTGTGCTTTTGTGCTTGGAGAGGAGATAGTGGGGTGGGAGGGAGAAAGGGAGAGGGAGAGAGAGGAAATTCCTGCGGTCCACACGGTAAGCATGTCAGTCTTCAGAACAATACAGAATCGGGTCTTACAGAAACTACCTTTGCTGGGTAGCTCTTTACAGATGTGTCAATCAACCCTGCACAAACAGGAAGCTCAGAAGCCTGCTCAGGATCACTCCTGAGCGGCAGCACATTAAGTCAACAAGTCAGAGAAGCCCAGGTGGTGTTGAATTACCCCTCTTAGGTTGCTGAAGGTACAATCACAGTAAATTATGAAATACCTCCTGGCCGTGTGGCTCCAACAGACAAATAGCATTTACCTTGTAGTTTCTGCAGGAAGGGTTGAAGGCATTAGTCCCACAGACAAACAACATATCATCATTTTTCTTTAGAAGAACTTTAATAAAGTTGTGACACTCATCCTGAAAAAAATAAAAAAAATCAGACTGTTTGTATCCCGTCCCTGCGACACAGAAACAGATTCTTCACCAGGATCTGCCGGCAGTCAGGGGAAAAGGCCAGTGGCTGTTGAAAATTCAAGTTCTCCCTGATGTTAACTGAAAGTCAATGTCGCTGGCAACAACTGGTGCCTCAATGGTAAATGAAAACATGGCACAGAATGGAAGAGTGTGTGTTTATTTTATGTCACAAAAGGAATGAAAGACTGGAAAGGCAACCTCCTATTATATTAATTTTAATGCCAGATGCTCCAGGGTTCCCTAATGTACAAAGCTTCTGGTTGAAGTGTGTTTTTATGTTGTTATATGACCAAGGGCACAAAGCCCTGAATGTCTGTGACAGCCTTTTATGAGCTCTTCCGCAGACTCCCCCTGGACCTTGGGCTGCGGGGTGGGCTGTCCGGGACGGCACTGGGAAGACTCCGGGCAGCCAGCTTTGTGTCCGTAATCCCAAGTGTGCCTAAGTAGTCCGTGATGCAGGCCTAGCAGCTGTTGTAATGTTTCATCACATTAAAAGCAAACTATTTTTGCAAATTAAAGCCTTCAATAAGTTGATGGAAAAAGCAATTACTGGGGGAAAAGGGAATGGCATGATCCATTCTACATCACAGTCTACGGCAGGAGATAACAGTCAAAAACTTAACCCAAAGTGGCAGCTGCAGAAGAAATGAAAATTGCCTACCTTATGTTTTCCCTTCATTCTGCACGTGTCTACATCGGCCTGTCTAGATTTCCATGTCAGTTTCTGCCGGGATCAAGAAAGAAATCAATTAGAGCCCAGAGGTTGTTGCATTTGATTTTAGAAGTAAGAGTTCCCTGGGGGAGACTGGAGGCTGAACATATATTTATTGAAAGCTTTCCCCACCCTTTCTCCATGATTAATTCACTGTAACAACAAAAGATTAGAGATGGAAACATTCTTTTAATTTCGTATTCCTATCTATTCATTAAACCACAAAATGGTCTTCTCTTTGAAATAAAGATGAAGCAGGAAAGAAAGAATTAGAAACAACAGTGTGGAAATTTTACGTCGAATATTCAAGCGAATTTGCTAAATTATGCTCATTTTGATAAAGTACATGCCCTTACCCTTTCCTTTCAGTTGATAAATCAATTTTTATAAAGAGGGCTTTTTCCTTAAAATATGAAAGTCATTTTCTTAAACATAAAGGGGACATTCACTTTAGGTGGACAAAGATTTAATTCAGGTTCTATTCCTTCACATAAATTCATGACCTGAATGGATCGTCTACTTCTATGGCACAGATTTTATTAACTAAAATATCCCCACCTGGAGTTACAAGGAAAGCTTAGGTTTACTTTATGTCTGTCCAAAATGGATAATGATCAAATTCTTGAACCACAATAGTCAAATCAAAGATAACATTGCAAGTCAAGGAACTATAACATTGAAATATTTGTGAAATATGCTTGTGGAATAAAATTCTACTTGTAAAAACTGATATTTTCCTGGATAAATGTGGCAATATTTTATTAAAAGAATTTAGAAATTACCTAAAATTCCACAATGTATGTGCATACGTATATCTGACGAGTAAAATACAAAGCACATAACTGTTTCTGAGCAGGCATTAGATCCTAACCTACCCTCTAATTAGGATTGTACACAATGGCTGTTGGCATTTCCAAATTATTCTTAGCCATATCATCTCCATCACTACATTTAGAATACAAACTCTCTTCAAGAACTATCCTCAGGTCCTTCATTTTAGAAAGATGGTTTTCAAACAACTTACTTTGCTACAATAAATTTCTTCCGTGTATGATGTGTCTATATCAATGGTATAAATATGGTCCCTATAAACAAAGAAAAATGAATACAAGGTCAAACATAAGAGTCAAGACAGTTCATTTTCCGCGGAATGACTTATATCTCATTCAGGGCAGAGAAGTGCTTACCCGTATTTTTAGGACACAAGACATTCATATACAAGAAAAAGAAAACATCTCGGCCCTAGACAGACCCCTCTGGGTCCTATTTAACCCCTTTTGATAAATCATGGCCCTTGTGCTAGGGACACCTTTTATGAAAGCTTTCCTGTAGTCCCTATTCTCTCTGACACCAGAATAGCAGCACCTGCATACACACATTTAAGGAGGGAGGACTCTGCAGGGTAAACTGGCCCAAAGACCGGAACACAGATGGGTTCTCCTGCCCTTTCATTGTCGTCAAAGCCACGTACCAAACACTTGGTATTCAACATGCCGCATTTTTTCATCACAGAGGACTAACAAAAAACTAATTTCCCTCTCCATCTCTCTGTAGAAAACATTTTCAGTCTTAGCTTTGATGATTTGATTGACAAGATGGGAAATGATAAAGGTGAAATTATTTCCAGAAGCCACCATTTTCTTCACAAGACCATGGTCAATTAAGAGTCTAAAACGTATCTGAGCTGAAGTCTACATTCCGCGCTTCTGTTCAGCTTATGTTTTGCTGAGAATTTGGTTGTCTTTACGATTTGCTGCCAATCTCCCCTTGGAAGGAGAGAAACAGAATCGGCAGCTCAGGTGTGGGGCTATATTTAAACATCCCCTTCTGTGTGAGCCGAGTACAAGGGCGTTTTTGTCTGGAATTCAGAAGAAAGAAAAGAAAAGAACTACACTCAATGGAGGAGATGGGGGGCTAGCGAGGGAAAGCAAAACAGCTCATTTTCCCTTGAAATAACATTGACTTTTTCTAAAATACAGGAAGTCCTGGGGTTGGAAAATTACCCACAGCTTTAAACCAGGACCTCAAGTCTCCCATGCAGACTTTCAAGCCCCCTCATTACTTAAAAGAAAGGGGTAAGGGGGATAAGAAAGAAAAAAGGAAAGAAAGGAACTATTTGCAGGATTTACTCCACTAAATATACAGTATGCATAGAAATGTAATTTTTAGTTCTTGGGAAATCTGTTTGCTGCTGCTTTTAGGGAAAGTGCAACAGAAAAAAAAAATAAAAATAAGAACAGGCTCTCTCACGTGAAAATAAAAGGAAGGGGTAGGCAGTTGGCTCACAAAATTCCCTTGCCTGCTACTGAACTGTGAGAGAGTGTGCGCGCATGTGTGAGTGTGTGTGGGGGGCAAGGGGGAGAGTGGAGAGCCTGTTCTGTAAATTGCTGAACTGGGAAGTTTCTTCAAACTTCAGGACGTCGCCAGAATTGCCCTGCCCTTTAATTTCTAGGCAGTTTTACTGCATTTGTTTATTACTTGTTTGACTTTATTAGTGGTGCTGTGGTCAGGCTCGTTGGGGGATGTGATTGCCTATTACTCTGGTATTGGGTTTGAGAGGACTCCAGGCTTTTCCTTGTCCTGCCTCCCCTCAAAACGTAAGTAGGAGCTGAGTATGTGAATTGTAAATTAACAGCTGATTAATATGCACTGGCAACTCCTCAGAAAGCTCTCAGATTGCCCCCTTTTGGCTCGGCCTGTTTATGTTAATTAGCAGTTTAGAGATTAAAAAAGAAGAGGAATTTACAAAGTGGATAATAGTAAAGCAGAATTGAAAGGGGTTCCTGCCACCAAGCCTCACTCGTCCCCTCCCCGGGTTCTGGATGGGACTTGGCTCGTGACCGCCGACACCAATTGTCTGCAAGAACTGGGAAGCCTTTTCAAAATAGGATTCTGTGAATGAAATCTCGGGGACAATGGCAATCCTTTTTAAAATCCAGAAGATCCTATGGCATCAGCAAACAGAAAAGGTGCTTTCTGGTAAACCACAAACCAGGGTCAGAGGTCAGTCCCAACCGTCAGACACACATCCTGGGCTTCATGCGCTGTTCTTGCTGAATTAAGTTATTTGAACATAAACTGACTTAATCCTAGGACTTCCTCTTACCCCTCCAGGGAGTACCACTGAATTGTGTTGCCATGGCTCGAGCCTAGGGCAAGGATTTAACTTGAAATCATGTTACTTGCTGCCTAGGAACCTGGATCTCTCAGAGCAATGCTGGGAAATGTGAAATTCAAAGGAGAGGAGATTTCCTAAATATGGTGGTCACAGAACTCTTTTAGGAATTTTTCTGTGTGTGTTGAAGGGAAGTGGCTGTGTATGTTGTGAAAAGCAGCAAGTCGGTGCTAGACGTGTTACAAACTTGACCTTTAATGAAAGCAAGAAGAATCTACTAATGATTTTTAAAAAGCTGACCGTGTTTCTTCTTTTTCTTCCTTCTCTCTCTTCTTTTTCCTTTCTTTCGTTGGGGAGTTAGAATGAAACTGTCTTGGTTTTTAATGAGATGGGGTTATGGTCACGTTTAAATTTGCATGGGGCCTCACTCCTAACACTCCGCTAGCCTCAGACCTGAAGTCCACCCCCTGTGAAATGCCTGCTTTGAGGGCAGCCTGTTACGCCATTCCCCAGCCCCAGAGACTCACTTGCAAAGTGAGCAGTTCCCAGGAGATCTGTGAGTCGAACTGTTTCTTACAGATCCAATGCTTAATCATTTGCTTTGATCAGCCCTTAGGTACAAATGGAATCTAGTTCTGCTGCATTTAGGAAATCAAAAATGGTCTTTAAGAAGAAGCTGGTTTTCAGCCAGAGAGGTGACCACTGAGACCTCCTTGGGACGCTTTATAATGAATACACACGACAAGTATGCTTTGGGGCAACAGCTATTAGAAAGTTATTACCAGGACAAAGAGCATCTCCTCTACTCCTTAGTGGGCAGCATGGTACAGGCAGCGGCAACATGAAACCCAGAGCAAGACCTGCCCAGTTCAAATCCCGCCCCTGTCATCTGGCTGAGTCATTTTACCTCTCTGTCCCGTGCTTTCCTTCCCTAAAATACAGGGGTAATAAGTGCTCCTCCTTCTTATAAGATTGTTTCCAGGACGGAATGAAGTAATATTCAAAAGAGCTTACAACTCCGTTTGTTAATTGTATGAATACAACATACTAGCTACATGTGCTATATGTATTTGTGAATTTTTTAAAGGTGTTTTTGCTCTTGTTCCCTGTGACCAAGTATGGGGAATGCTCAGGATGATTTGCCAGTGTTTTTATTTTTCACGTTATGTTGCAAAAAGTTAACATCAGAACACCCAGCACTGTTGTTACCCATAGGTTCTAACCTGTGGTCACAGCCAGATACAAACATAAGCTCGTTTCTGCTTCCCAGTGGGTAGTGATGGATCAGTCCAGGCCCAGGGAAGATGCAGGGGAGCACTGTGGGTCTGTGCTCCCTCTCACTGTTCATGGGCAATTATTCTGAAGGAGCTACACTCCCCCCCCCGCCCCCCAGTGGAGGCTCATCTATTGCTGGAATCCCACGGGACTTTATTAAGGTAATCAAATCCAACCTGCCATTTGGCAAGGACACTGTGGTCAGAAGTTGTGGTATAGCTACATTAAGGGCAGAATGAGAACAAAAGCCTAAATCCGTGTGATCTGACTTGAAGCAGTATTCTTACCAAGACATTCAGCCTCAAGACATTGGTCTGTCTAAATAACATTTTCTTGACGGATAAGTATTTTTTACAATAGTCACACAAAACCTTCTAAAGTCTAGGTATTATGCTTTCTTTGATTGCGGTTGCCATTCTTTCAAAGTCATGACACAGGTATCTCACGCCTTAGTGAGGTCTATGTATACATACGTGTATATATATACTCAGTGCAAAGTACAAACAGGTTTACCGCACATACTCCAGGCACACTGTACGATCCATGTTCACACATTCACCTTAATTTAACGACACAGTATCCAGGAGTGGAGCACAGCACTAGGTGCCTATATTTGAGTATAAGCTCCAAAGTATGCAATTATCTGAATCTAAATCCCATCAAGTTAAGTAGACACAGACAATCTTGACAGAATGATTGCTTGAGAAATTACAGTGGCCTTTAGTGTAAAGAACACTGGGGGCCGAAGCTCTTAAAAACGCCACGTAGCTGGTGAATTCAGGACCTGGGCACCTGAAGGCGGGCGTGAGGATGGGGCCACGCACCTAGCAGCAATGTAGAGGGTTCTGTTCATGATCATGATCATCTGGATGTCCAGTTTGTGCCTCTGTGTGGTGTTCCGTCCTGGCTTGTGGCCCACAAACACCGGATACTGTTTTGTATCTGTGAAAAGAGGAGAAAGGGCAAGAGGGGGGAAAAGCAGATCAAGCCAAGAATCGACAGGGCACGGGGGAGGGAGGTGGGCCACAAAACAAAACTGTGTTTAAATCAGACCGGGCCACCATTTTCCATCTCCAAATACGTCTGTTATTTTAGGAAATGGTCTCAAGGAAGAGTGCTCTTTGAGGACGATCAAGTTCCAGTTTCGTTTCCAGATGATAATGAGCCTAGACTTCTATTTCTAAGTGTCACAATTTCTGACTGGTCCCTCTTTCTGGGGTTGAAACTCGCCAGTGAACGCTTTGCAGGAAGGTGCTCTTTCCTTCCACAGTGCTCTTTTCATCTTCTGTAGAGTGCTAAGCCCGAGGAGGCAGTCTGCCAAAGATCTTGTCTCGGGACAAAACTATTTCAAAGCAGCCTTCCCATCAATCACCACAAAGGCAATGTGGTCTGGAGGCGAGAGCCCTCGTCCAGGAGCCAGAAGAAAAATACAGTCTCCACAGGCGTCCAGTTGGAATAATCTGCTATTGAAGGCAGCCCTGTGAGCTTGGTTGGCGTTCTAGGAACTGTGGGAAGTTCACTCTGGAGTTAAGCAATTGGCTACTTTCACAGAAATGTGGGCTTTGACAGGACAGGGTCAAACTGAGTGTAGCCAGTCAGGTGATCTGGAATTTTCCCTGAGTTGGAGAGTCGTCAATGGACATATTTCTCCTTCCCTACAGTTCTCTTTGGCTGAGAGTAGGCAATTTGTAATGAGATCTGACCTTTAGAAATACCTACGTCTCAACATCTTTCTGCCTTTACACCTACAATATCCAGAGCATTGGCCGTCCTCCAGAAACTTAGAAGCAAAGAAAGATGAGTCACATTTAAAAAGCACTTGTTTTCCGGGGAAGGGTGGGGGTGTAAATAATGACTAGAAAACCATTCACGGATTTATGCCTAGACCTCTACACTTTAAACCCTTGTAGTATCTAAGCATTGCTCACAGTGTGTGTCGTATGAGAGCTTGAGTATATTTTGTTCACAAGCAAGGTTGTTGTAGGATTATTTTTGTGCAGTTCCTTCCACTGCTCTGAAATTTCTTATACTCAGTCATCAAAGAGGCTCTGAGTAACCACTGAGTTAGGACTTTCAGCAGCATATCTGGGCTGGGTCCCTTCTGTACTGGGCCACAAAAGATATAAAACTTATCTCAAATGAAGACAAAGAAGTGTTTATTAAGTTTTGGTACCTTGAGTTGATGAACTCAAGAGGAGTGATGACCTTGAACTACACAACTTGGTCTTAATCATGTCCTTTGACCTTTTGTTCTCTAATTGTTTTATGTGTCAGTTTGGCAACTTCACCTTCATGTAAAATTACCTCCTTTATTCAAGAGAGAGTGCAATAATGGATGCCATTAGTATCCCGTATTAGCTAGATTACACTTTGGTGTGCTTTATTCAGGTTATTTTTTGTTTTGTTTTGTTTGAGAGGGAGATAAATACCGGAAAAACAGTTACTTAGGAAAAAATGCTCTCTTACACCTTAATGTGATAAACGGCTTAGCTTCTGAAGGGGAGGGGAAAAGTAGTAAACTGGGTGTCCCGTCTAATAGAGAGGTAGGAAGACATTCCTCTTTGGAGGAGACAACTGAATTCTTAATCTTGTCAGCAAGTACTCCTCGCAGGGAAGCAGAGACCAACAGACAGTTATCCATGGTTAAAACAGACTCCGCAAATTCAAAATCACTCTCTGTCCAAGTCTAGCAATACTAAAACTTCTAAAAAATACGAATTTTTTTCTCTAAAGTACTCCTAAGCAGTCGTTATTTTGTTCATATCTTTTAACAATATGAATTAGACCATATGAAGATACGTAACGAGGGCAAGACACAAATGAGCGTGACATCCTCCCCCATAGCTGGTTATAAGGCACAAACACAATGGCCTCCCTATAATAATCGAGACTTCATCAGGGTACTGGGGATTTTTCAAATCCTCACCCACATGTTCCCACAACATTTGCTTGAAGTAGGTAACAGTCATCCCACCAATGGACTGGACCTGAATTATCTACCTCTGCCATCTACATAGGCTCCTTTTTGGTTTCATTTCAAATTGTTATTTTTTGCTAGGCTGATTCAGGATAAAATATCTGCAAAGGGAGAAAGTGGGTGAGACTGTGGGTACTTACAGTTGCCATGCGAAATACTGATTGGCTCAGAATCTTCTGGGAAGCCAGCCCCAGTGAAGTGTAGCAGTGTGAAATATAGCAGCAAGGCTTCTGACCTCATAGTAGTTCAGCGGGGAGACTTTATTTTTCTACTTCACCCTGCCAACGAGCAAAGAAAAGGGTTTTTTTTTTTTTTTTGGCAAGTCAGCTTTATTCAATTCCATAAAATGAAATAGCCTTGAAGAGAGAAAGGCTTCTGCTCTGCGTCTCCTCCCAGCAGACTCGCTGGCTATTGTGTTTTGCACGAAGCATCTGTACGCACGACCCCTGCTCTCTCCTTCCCCACCCACTGCAGCCCCTTTGCAAAGTTTCTTGTGGACACAGGACACAGACGTCCTTTGTCCCGGGTCAGCTTTAGGCCATTGTCGGTGGCTATTTTACAATTATGAAACTTTGCGTTCCCCAAAAAGGGTGATAACTGAAAAGTGTTTTTTCTTCTTCTTAAGCTAAATATTTTTCTTTTTCTCAGCAGGTTATAGAGATAAAACACTGCCACACACAGCCATGTTTGTTTGGCCGGTGCAGAATCTTTCAGAAAATTGAAGTAGTGGTCAACACTGAAAAATTAGGAGATTTTAGATAATAATCTGGATTTTCAGTTCCTTTACAACAATCAGAATCAGTCATAATGACCTAAATGTCAGTTTCCCCAGGCACCATGCCCCTCCCCCGACACTCTACTACTCACAAAGAAGCATGTCCATGTGGACAGTACATGCATGCAACTGGTGCACACTCGTGTACACACAGGTGCACACACACGTACACTCGTATAGGTATAACTAGCCCCATTCACTCATCTCCACGACGAGCTTGATCCTTTAGTGGAGATTTTCTCCCCTGGTTTATGTTAATTCTACAGTGACCTCAGACATAAACAAAACCACATGATCTACATTTAAAAAGAAGTAAGTTGGTCCTTTCAGACTCTGAGGAAGACTACACCAAGAATCTGAAAGCACATCTTTAAACAGCATTGTTGATTAAAAAACACTCAGATTCTACCTTGCTGTGGAACATTAGTGAATAAAATGCCAGATACACTGTTCTAAACGTGGGTATTTTCTTGGAGATGCTCTTTATGTGTAGAAAAATTCTCCTTACTCTTGGAAATAAAAACAATCCCACGTGGGGCTGCTGGATACAGTGTTATTCTTGGGCATATTTCAAAAAAGCATTGATCAGGGAAATTAATGTAAAATTAAGATGTCTTTTCATCTTTTCACATTAGTGTACCCTTTGAAGTAGCCTGCCAAAGACTATCTTTTTTGAACAAAGCTATTTTACAGTAGTCCATCAATCATTGAAGATTTGTGTGTAGAAATGTCAAACTCAGTAACCTAGATGTCTTTGAAAGTTAATTTGGCAAACAGACTGCTAACTTACGCATTTTGGAACACCATTTAATATTAGATACCTATGTCTCTTTTCTTCATGCCAAAAAAAGCATTAATAAGTCCCAAGTGTTGCATCGTAACTCATAATTTTACAGACACTGCTGGGCCTTAATCATTCCTTCAATTGAAAAGTACACATTAATTAATTTGCTTTATCTTGAAAATCAAGGAGGGAGAGGGGTTGAAAGAAGAACATAAACAATTCCATTTCTCCAACTCTGATGTGTAGATTAAAATTAAACTTTAGATGACTACTTGTTCACGAGGGTGATCCATTACCAAGAGACATAAACAGGTATTTATAGGCAGGTGAAAAGCAACAGTTTACTCATTCATTTACTTGCCAGCTCTTCCTATTCTGGAGAATCTGAACCCCAAGGAAAGAAGCACTACTTCCTTTTCATGGTCCCTATGCAGGATAACTGTAGAAGAAATTAACAGCAAAAGTAAAACATGGAACGAACGAGCCCCAATCAGCTGTTACATTTTAGATGAGATAGTATATGGGGGAGGAGGAAGAATGGGCAGTGTTTACTAAGGACTCAAGAGTGGTATTAGGGTATTAGAGGAAGGCATATTGGCTCAAGAGCTTGTAGCATGTAGAGGAAATAAAAGAGAGACTCCAAAGGCTGATTCTCATTCCTCTGAAAATCTTTGGAAGTATCTGTATGCTTTTAAGGATTAATTTTGCTTGACATGACAAATGAGTCTCTATCCTTCCTTAACCGTGTTCATCTTTGTATACATGTCCTACAAGCTCACAAGACAAAATCCTGCCACTTTATTATGTCCCGTGACTTGAATTCTTTCCATCTAAAGATTGCTTGGGTCAGATGCAAAGTTCCCAACCCCAGAAGCTGGCAAGAAGAGCAATGAATGGAGGAGAAATCTGTTATGTAAGTTAAGGGCTTTTTTAATTCTTGCAGCCAGAATCATGGCTGAGCTATGTCATTCAAATATCTCCAGGTTTATAGTAGGGCTCGCTTACAGGAAACAGCTGTTTAATGTGTCTTTCTAGCACCATCTCAACAGGTAGTTAACAGGTACATCATATGGGTGGAAGGGTTCTGGCAGTGCCGGGTAATTCGGCCAGTCCATGTGAACACTGGGACATCTTCTTCAGCTGAAGTTTTGATGTATTATTCCCTTCCTACTCAGTGTTGGGCCCTAACCTTTGTCAATAGGTAGATAACACATTTTCTTGTTGAAATAGTTTCTTATGGAGGGATCCTAAGTCAGGAACATTGTCATTTCCTATCCTCCAGGACGTGGGCTCAGTCCCCCTCCTGAGATCACTGCAATGCAGATGGGTACCAGTCCAGTTGAACAAAAAGACACAAGAATTTTCTACAGGGTTTAAAAATCTTGAGCAGCTGGGCTGCTGCAATGTAAGAGATTGTTTAAACAGTTTTCAAAACTTTGAGAAGTGCTACCCACAGATAGCATATTTATAGGTATCTGCAAACGTGTGTTGATTTCCCTGTCTATGGCTATGCTCGTAGAGGCTAAATACGACTGGAGACTACAGGAGCTAGTCAGAAAATTAGGTAAAGGAAGACTGGTCAATATGAGGATTCTAAATAAAACACTGACTTCACAAGTGAGCTTATTATACCTGAATTTTCCATCTCATTGTCTCAGCGTTCTTCCATCCTTGTCTGAACAGAAGCGGCCTCTGTAAGATATACCCTTTACTACAAAGTTATAACCCTAGCCTGCTTCAACCCATAAAATTAATAGAAAACTTTACTAACATTCTTCATTTCAGTAGGTGAAATCTGCTTGGCGAATTTATTAGGTCTGTTTAGGCCCATCTAAAGGAATTTGTATTGACTTCCTATATACTTTAAGCTCAGACAAAATTCTTCTTACAGTAGTTTCCCCTCCACAGTTTCAAAGACCAAACTGAATACCAGAACTGTGATGTACAAAGAGCAGCCTGACTATCGGCTGCCAGGAGCCGAAGGAAGAGCACACGATGCAAAGTGGCCTCAGGTATTCCAGACGGGGACCAGACCAAAGGCACTGAAAGGGGCACTGTCTGGAAATCCTCTGAGTGCATTTACACCAACCATTGTTTTTGGAAATAATAAAATCTTTTCAATCATTGGAGCTTCCATCCACACACACTGCCACCTCCCATGCCCTCATCATACAGCAGGTCCCCGTATCAACCAAGTCTGAAGCGAGGGGGATGAGGAACTGGAAATGGTTATGGCATCAGAATGAGGTCACCTGTGGCCACAGCTTGCTTCTAATCAATCAGGTTAATTTCATAAGCGCCTTGAGTACTGGAGAGCCAGGACAAGCCTACCCAGCCAAGTACCACTTAACTACTGCCCCAACCCTGCCCTGGGAAATTCTGCTGGTGCTCACAGATTAGTAGTCTTTGGCCAAAAGCTGACTTGCAAGGAAGGAAAAAAAGGAATCAGCAACATTTAGGAAAAAAATAATAGGAGACTTCACATAGCAATCCAGATTTCTAGTGTCTTAAAAATCAAAATCAGAGATCTGGCTTTGCTGGTCCATGCTCCCACATGGCAACACTCTGGAGCTGGGCAGTGGCCACACAGGATAGAGCGGCTGTCCCCCACTTGGAAACATTCACAACACTTCCCATGGTATTGGGAGACCTGCCTTCCCTACTAACCTTGCCTGCAGCCCCGGCAGGCTCTGAGGGCCACTTCTCTGATACCGGGTGAAGGACATCATCGCTGCTGCATGAGGCCTTCTGCTTCTCTGTACTGTCGTCTGTAAGTTGCTGAGTGTCAGCCCTAGCAAGTGGACCTCAGGGTCCCCACTCTCTATATACACAAACAGATGGACACTGCTTTCTTTAAAGACCCAGATGGGCTGCTCCACCCACTCTCCACTTGTCCCGCTTCAGCAACCAATGTGCCAGCTGCTTGGCGGACTTAGTTATAGAGGCAACTTGTGTCTGATTTGGTACAGGTGGCAACGTTTTCTAGAATGTTGGCATCCAGTGAACATTTGAATAACAAGTGATGATAAGGTGAAAAATAATATATCTGGGAGCTGGCAAATACAAAATCATAGCTCTGAGTCAAGAGGAATTGATAACGATTTGATTGATTTCTAGTCTGAAATTAAGAGGAATTGACTCTTTTTTATTGACCTTATAGAAATTTCAAAGATAATCAATAATTCACGCCATCATTAATAGAAGAAAGGGGCCTGGGCGTGGTGGCTTATGCCCGTAATCCTTATACTCTGAGAGGCCCAGGCAGGTAGATTGCTTGAGCTCAAGAATTCAAGACCAGCCTGAGCAAAATCGAGTCTCTTAAAAAAAAAAAAAAAAAAAGCTAGACATTGTGGCAGGTGCCTGTAGTCCCACCTACTCGGGAGGCTGAGGCAAGAGGGTTGCTTGAGCCCAGGAATTTGAGGTTTCTCTATCCAGGGTGACAAAGTGAGACTCTATCTCAAAGTAAAAGAAGAAGAAGGGAGGGTCAGCTAACAAAGGGACCCTGGACAGGTCATCAGTCTCTCTGGCTCCCAGTTTCCTCATCTGTAAAATGAAAGAATATGAAATGAAATGATCTATAAAGTGTTTCTGGGCTGTGAAATTGTACTATCCTAGGTGATTCTGTTCCAGTGAAGAAGAGAGGGTGTATGTAAGAGAGAGAGAGACGCAGAGAGAGAGCGAATGTGATTACGAGGGATAGTACAAGGAGTGACTCGGGC